TAAGCCCTATGACTGCCCCAGCTAACTGCCTGGGAAGTTTCCAGGCCACAAGAAAGACGACTCTGGACAAAAGCTAGGAGAAATCCAGAGCTGAGTAGACAAGGCAGAGAATATAGGGAGGTCAAGACAAGAATCCACAGGATAGAGTACCAGAGAGGAAAGAGCCACAGAGAGAGAGAGAGAACTATGAAGATCTATAGACAGTAGCACCGGAGAAATTCCCCTAAGAACTAATATGCTTAGGTGTATAAGGGAATTATCCAAGGCCAGAAAAAGAACCACCCAAAAAATAGAAGAAACAGTGCCAGGAGTTCACACAGGGCCAAGAATGGTGCCTGTTTCCAATATTCAGATGGAGAAACTTTATGATTCACCAGGCAAACAGGAGACAATTCAACATGTGTCTCTGTGTGAGGAGAGGTACTGACAGCTGGTCATCTGGAATATATACTACAAACACAAGGATGGTTACACATAAAGAAAAAATCAAAGAGAAATACTAGTAGAAAAATCAGCTATTCAATCTCCACAGATGCTTAGAAAACATTTCATAAAATTCAATAACCATGTTTGAAAATAACAATAAATAACAGATAGAGGGGCACTTGGGTGGCTCAGTCAGTTAAGTGTCTCCCCTTAACTCAGGTCATAGTCCCAGAGTCCTGAGATTGAGCCCCACGTCAGGGGCTCCCGCTGAGCAGGGAGCCTGCTTCTGCTTCTCTCTCTTCCTCTCCCTCTGGCCTTCCTCCAACTGTGCTCTCTTTCTCACACTCTCTCACTCTTTCAATCAATAAAATCTTTTCTCTCTCCCTCAAATAAATATATAAAATCTTTAAAAACTATACTGTATTATATTTTCCAGCCTATACAATTACAAACAAGAAATAAATTAAAAATACAATAAATGGAAACCTGTAAGTAAAAGTATTACTGTTTTCAGAAGTTTATAAGTATGACCTGGAAAACCCATGAAATTAAGAGGAAAAAAATACAGCAACTTAGTAAATTGGCAAGACTTTTATAAAGAAAATCTTATATAATGTTAACAGAAACTGAAGTAAATGGAAAGATATATTCGTGTTACCAACATCTTAAAGAAGTCAGTAGGCCCTAATTTATAAATTTAACTTGATGCCATAAAAAGTCCAATTGCTTATTTTTCTAACTAGAATTAAATTGATCCTAAAATTCATATGGGAAAATAAACAAAACAGAATAACTCTGTAAAAGAGCAGTAAGGATGGGGGGAGAGGTGAGCATACCAAATATTAAAACATACTCAATTATATAACCTGAAAAGAAACTGGAAAATAGACAAATTAAATAAATATAAAGTCCAGAAATAAACACATGTGTACGTGCAATTCACACTTCATATCTAAATGAATCAAAGATATAAATGTGAAGTGAAATCATAAGTATTCTAGAAGAAAACATGGAAAAATTCTTTATTTTTTTCCTCCATGGGAAAATTCTTTTAAAGCTTTGAAGAAATTCCATTTTAATTAGGACTAAAGTATCTAGAACTTCTAAAAGAAAAAAAAAAGAATAAATTAAATAAAAATATAACTGTGCATGTGCTAAAAGACAATCAAAATTAAAATGACAAACTGGTAAAAATATATTTGTAATGTATATCACAAATGTAATGTATATCACTATTTTCCCTAACATATAAAGAGCACGTAGTAATTAAGGACACAATTTTTTTAATATGCAAAAGAAACAAATAGTTCACATTAAAAAAAATGCAAATGGTTTTTAAATATATGTAAAAATACTTAACTACACTCCTAATAAGAGAATGCAAACTAAAATCATACTGAAATATAATTTTTTACCTATCAGATTGGCAAAGATCAAAAACAACACATCACATACACTGTGATGGTAAGGATGTGGGAAAATAGGCAAAATCACACATTTTTAGGGATGCCTCAGTGGCTCAGAGGTTGGGCAACTTGCCTTTGGCTCACATCATGATCCCGGGATTCGAGACTGAGTCCCACATTGGGCTCCTTCAAGGAGCGTGCTTCTTCCTCTGCCTATGTCTGTGTCTCTCATGAATAAATAAATAAATCTTTTTAAAAAATTACACATTTCTGGTTTGCTAATAAGATGATAAAACCTCTCCAGTAGCAATCTGACAATATCTATCAAAAGGTTAAAACCTCTGAAACTAGCAACTTAATTGCTTGAAATGCATTCTGTAGATACACACAAATATATATGGAAAGCAGCATGTGTATAATATACATAAATGTCAGTAAAGACTAATAAAAGTTGAACAACAATGAAACATAAAACAATTTGTAAAGTATGTTTTTACCTGAAGGGAATAAAACAAGGGGCAAAATTGTATCAAGTATGCTACCATCTAAATAAAAAAGAAGCAGGGGAATATATGTCCATACTGTCTTTCATATATGAACACTACCACTGGACAAATACACTGGGAGGAGGAAGCAGTGACTGAGGGATGGGGATTAGAGAAAGACTTTACTATATACTCTGTACATTCATTCACCAAATGAATGCATTATCTATCTAAAAATAAAGTTAATATTAAATAAATTAAATAAAATACAAATCTGATCCTGTCATCTGCTTTCAACAGCTTCCCAACACCTTTAAGTCTAAATGTCTTAAGGTAGACTTGGAAATCCTCACATAATGTGACTTATTACCCCAGTTTCATCTCTAACCATTCTCTCCACATTCCACAGTCCAGCCATCCTGAGTCTTTTTCAGTTCCTTAAACAAGCTTTTTCCATTTTGCTTCTAAACTTTTGTAAATTGCTATTCTTCTCAAAGCCTTCTCTTCATCATCCCCTTCATATGACTAATGCCTACTGCAAAGACTCAACTTATACGAAATCAGTGCCTCCATTAAGCTTTCCTTGACACCGTATCCTCAACTCTAAGTTGGATGCCCACTCTATCTGCCCTCACAGTATACTAAAATTGTCCTATGATACTGTTTTTTATGATATATAGTTTAGTTTTATTGTCTGTGTCTCTCAAGAAAGTAAATGCTGCAACAGAAGCACTATATCTCAACTTCTACTGAAGTCCCAGGGCTAACACTGTCTGGTTGCTGGCATTTAATGAGTATTTGTAAGTAAAGTGAATTAATGTACTTAATAAGTGAGTGAATAAGTGTATAAATGAATTAGATAGGAAGAAAAGGAGGGGCACAGATAGATTCAGTAATAATAAGACAAGTTCTACTATAGTCTTTTCCTTAATATATGTTCCTTACGATTATCTACATATCTTGTCTATTAACAGTCCTCATACCAACTTCAAACATTCCATGAATTCAAGAAATTCTATTCTCTAATTTCATTTAACATCTTAAAATTGTTCAGCTTTCGGGAACCCTGGGTGGCGCAGCGGTTTAGCGCCTGCCTTTGGCCCAGGGCGCGATCCTGGAGACCTGGGATCGAGTCCCACGTCGGGCTCCCAGTGCATGGAGCCTGCTTCTCCCTCTGCCTGTGTCTCTGCCTCTCTCTCTCCCTCTGTGACTATCATAAATAAATAAAAAAAATTTAAAAAGAAAATTGTTCAGCTTTCTCATATCAGATCCTTGATTTTTGCAAAGTTCTGCAGTTTAATCTTGCAAGTGACATTTCCAGGCAATAGAAATATTTCCAAAATTAACAAACTAAAGCAGACTTTTGTTATTGAAAGACAGCATTTGTATATTCAGATATCTTCAATACGTGTAAAATCCAACATATTAATGAAAACCACAATGAGATACCACTCCACACCTATTAGGATGGCTTTTATTTTTAAAAAGGCAAACAGAAAATTTTAAGTATTAGAGTGTGCAGAAACTGGTTCCCTTGTGCATTGCTGGTAGGAATGTAAAATGGTGCAACTGCTATGGAAAACAATTTGGCAGTTCCTTAAAAAGTTAAATACAAACATGATCCAGCAATTCACATCTGGTTATATTCTGGAAAGAACTGAAAGCAGAGACTAAAATAGATACTTATATACCAAATATTCATAGCAGCATTATTCACAAGAGCCAAAAGGTAGAAAGAACCCAAATGTCCATAAACAAATAAATGGATGAACAAAATGAAGGTGCAGTCATACAATGAAATACTACTCAGTCATAAAAAAGGAATAAAATTCTGATAAGGAATGAAACTGGAAGACATTATGCTAAATGAAATAAATCAGACACAAAACGATAAATATACGATTCCATTTATATACCTATAATAGGCAAACTCAAAATATAGAAGGTAGAATAGAGGTTCGGGAGCTGTGGAAATAGGAAAATGCAGTTATTTAAACAGTGTAGATTCTATTTGGGATGATGAGATTCTATCTGGAGATGGATGCATGGTGATTATGGCACAATATTGTGAATATACTTAATGCCACTGAATTATACACCTAAAAATGGAAAAACAGCAAATTTTGTTATGTACATTTTCCAACAAAAAGAGAGAAAAAAATCTTACATCCTACCATCAAATTAACTCAATATATTCAAGACCGTATTTACTATCATCCCTCCTAAGACAAATTCCAACCCCAATCTTCCCATTTTGATCAAAAAGTTTCCTTAGAGAGTTAAAGCTTAAAATACTTGGGTACCCTCTGCTTCTTCTCATTTAACTACTAGATCCTCTTTATCACCACGTTCTAAAAATACATCCCTCACCTTGTTCATGTTTTCTACTGCAATTATTTTAAGTTGTTTTACCTATGGATGACAGACTTTAAAACTTAACAAATTTCTAAACCTAACCAATATAGTACAAGTTTACTAATGTTAAATAGTAAAACTAATAGAATATAAAATTTTAATAAAAACTGGTTTGAATTATTACTATAAAAATAATAAATAAATCCATTATTAAATTCTAACTCAGATCAAAATAACTGCTTAATTTTTAAGAACATCCTTATTTATATTGTTCATTTATACTACACATTAATCTTCCAAGGTCATCAATGAACATTTTACACCTTACCTTTGTATGGTATTCCATTGCATCCAATTCACCTTGATTGAAAACAACACATCTTTTACGCTTCTAAAGAGTAAATTACAGGGAGAAAATTATGTTACCATCTATCACAATATTGATATTTTGAAATGTACTAGTATCTCTTTTTTATCATATTTTCCATAGTATCTCAGTCTTTAAGAGGTTAATTGACTGCTAAGGTCGAAATCAGTGAAAAGTGTATGGACAAAGGAAATAAGCTTTCCCAAATAAAAAACTACTATTTATTATCATCATCATCATCATCATCATTACTACTACTACTACTACTACTACTACTACTACTACTACTACAGGCTTACTGAGTAATATAAGGTCACCTAAGCTATTAATAAGAACTAGTAACAATGATAAAATGTAGCAGGGACATCCATAGAACACCAGAAAACTGGGACACTGTATAAAATTACCAGTATCATCTAACAGTTATATATGGTATAATTCTCAACCTCTTCATTTTTGAGGAGAGGAACTATTCATATACTATCATTCAAAAAAAAAAAATCCAGTGCATTTTCAATAGCTCTTTATGATTGATCTGAAAGCTAGGTGCAAATCAGGTATACTAACACGGTTCTGTATCTAACAACTTCATAGAAAAGAACATTTAAGACAGTGCAAAATAGAGCAGGGACTTCATAATTCTTATTGCTGAAACACTAATGTCTATATGGTTGCATACTCCTAGTAGGCTAACAATAAATGCTTGCTAGCTGAATAAATAAATGAACTGAAGAATAAGCTAGTTGTATAATTTGCTTTAGCATGTCAGAAATAAGGTGAGTTTTGTCAAGATGATTCATTACATATGCTCATCTATATTTTTCTATATTAAAATGACAAATTTATCCAACGTAACAGTGTAAACATTAAAAGATGCCCATACTTAGCAAACTGTAAATGCTTATTTGTCTGAACTAGTAGTAGTTATGATAATCTATATACTATTTTGCTGAAATCTCAAACTATATGTTTTCTTTCCTATGCCTGACAGTAAAGGCTCAATAAATATCTGCCAAGACAAAAAAAAGACGGAATAAAGAAATTACAAACATATTAAAAGTTCTACTTCAGGAAACTAGAACAATGTATTAAATTATCTCTATTACTTCCCTTATTCTAATTCTCAACATGCTTTCTTATTTAGTATCTTTCTTCATGGCTATCAATTATAAGATACTGCATTTATCTTGTCTCATCCCTTCATGTACAACAGCACACAGAAAGATCTCAAACACATATGGGTGAGTAATAAAAGTTATTCCTATCTCTATCAAAGAAAATCTTAATATAATGTATCCAAAACAGACTTTGTATAATCACCTCTGAACTCTTCAGAAACACACAAAGTATTAAAGCATAATTAATTTGATTTCGTATGGCATTCTTGAAACATCACCAAAAGACTACACCGGTGCATATACAAATATGTATACTTTAAGAACACATACAATTTTCTATAGCAGCTTTCTATTTTTATTAATAAAACTTTATGAAATATCATCCCCTTCTTGCAAACTTCATTATGAGTTTATCCCCAAAGGACAGGTCTCTAAAAATCTCCCAAAATCCAAATACTGTTTTAGGATTTTGCAGACAAAGCAGCAGTGGTTGAACAAAAACAGCTGCAAAAACATACAATTAATACAAATGACTAAGCAGAAAGGGCTTTTTGTTATTGTTGTTCAGTTTTAATTTACAGAGCATTCACTTTTAAACAAACTTTGCTTACTTTTGAAATATGCAAATATGGCCTAAGAATGATAGAACATTAGTAAAAAGTTAAAAATTACACTGGATAGAACTTTCTACACTTTGCTGTTTTTAGACTTTATAAATTATATTTAAGATATTGGAATGATAAATTTCTTTTGCATGTTCTGTAGAAAAATAAAAACACATTAAAGCTGTCTACCTTCCCAATAATAGAAAGGCAGTTTTCTTCTTTAACACCATCCACTGGATATTCCTTTTCATTCCTCTGTTGGCATTCATTGTGAACAGCTGAAATTATGTAAGGTTTGGTGACATTAAATAGCTCAGATCGAAAAACATATTTCTGTATAGAGATTTCACAATTTCCTCTGTCATCATTATCTGGCTGAGTGGCAGAGTCAAAAGCATTAAATGTAGCAGAGGTTCCTCAAAAGAGGTCAAAGAATCCATTTGAAGAGAATCAAAGTGAACAGATGAAGTAGGCTCATTTTTACTGCAACAAGGCTCATGATGTTGGTGAAGTTGATAGTTTATGTTGTTAATGAAAGAAAGATGATCTAGTAACCATCCTGGTGACAGCTGGTGCACCACAGACATTCTCTTCTTTTAAAATCGAAAAGCAAAAAGCAAAAACAAAAACCTCTGGAAATGAGGGTTTAGATGTAAAACCCAACTTTTCAGATTAACTTCTTAAACGTCCAACATATCAATAAAAATATACTTCATATGCACAGGTAGATTTCATGTGCAAATATATAAACTTAACACATACACACAAAAGAATTTGACATTCATGATACGTTAAGGAAAAACATAATGTTTTAATATAAACTTTTAATTTCAGCGTTGATAATTGAAAATTTTCAGTCACTTGAGCAAAAGAGCATTAAAACATGATCTTATTTCTGGAATCTCAGTTGAATCCTCCTATTTTCCTGAGCCCCTCCACACAACCTCCTGTTCCATATTTGAATCTAGCCACTAGGTCCACATCCTCCAAGTCAGGAAGTCATTCAATTCTTAAAGGTGAGTGTCCTGTCAAAGCAAAGAATACTACATTATCTACGTGCATTCATTCACCCTTTTTAATGAGATAAACCTAGAGAAGCCACAGAATTTCAAGAAAAGTTGTTAGCAGATCAATCCTTGTTTTTTCAAAGCACATTTACCATAATAAGTCAGCTCATTAATATGCCCAGTAACCATTGCTACCAATGGGAGAGCAAAAACCATGAAATCGAAGACTGGTCTAGACAGAGCACAATGCAATTTTAACAGATTTCAGAAATACCAAACCCTAGCAAAATTGCAAGGTTATTGGTTCTGAGCAGTCCTCCTCCGGCAATTATGTTTTTCAAAACTTATTTTTTAACAACAACATAAAAAAAAAAAGGTAAAGTTCTGGATATGGCCTATTAAATCTAGTGTAATGGAGAACTTAAGAGTGGGACAGAAAAAGATCTACATTAAGTGGTTAATAGCACGATTAGTAATAGTCGCCTTTAGATCCAAACTTCCAGCTCCATGTAGTATTAGCAATATAACTAGTTATATTAGTTATTTAATCTGAGTCTCAAATCCATCTTTTTTTTTTTTTATGACATCTCGGAAGGCGGTTTAGAGAATTAAATGAGATACTCTACGTGAAGCGCTGTGCAGTGCCTAACACACAGCAACTTTTCAAACAAATGCTATTAGTGATGGTAATCGTGGTATTTGGTCCTCCCCCTCAGAGTCACCACCTGCAGGGAGGAGCTGATGTAATAGCTAGTGAGAGCTAGAAATTTAGTCCAGAAGACTGAAACTGAAAACGCGACGTGCCCCAAACTACAATTCTAGTTAACCGCAAAACTGCTCCAAGAATCAAGTACCAGGACCTGGGCTCAAAGCTTTTCATTCCCTCCAGGTATTGGGCAGTACTTGCCTGAGTTCAAACTCAGGGAAGCAGGTTAGTCCAATTTAGGCAAAGTAAACTATTGCGCTGAAACTCTCCGGCCCCTACCTCTCCCCTTCACATCCAACCCCACCCCTACTCCCTCGGCTTCCTCCCGGCTGCACTCGCCGGCCACCGCTGGGGACCAGGACGCCCGAGCGGCAGCTACACCAGCTCGAACCTCCAAGGCGGCTCCGCCCACGCTCAGCAGTCCTCATCTCCCACCTCACCGCTTCCCTTGTCAGAAAAACTGCACGACGCCTCCGCCTTGCATCATGAAAGCAGCACCCCTCTAACCAGCGGTCATGTGAGACTCCACTTTCACGGTAAAGGAAAGAAATTTCTCTTTTCGCTACGAGACAAGGGCGCGGCCATGTTGCTGTACGGAAAAATCATTTCCAGGGCGTTTTGGAGCGCTCTGTCCGCTAATCAGAGGCAGACAGCTCCCGCGCCCTCAGCGCTAACTTTAAAATCGGCCTGGACTTTGGAGCGGACACTTGCACTTACCAGAGTCGCCGGGGTGCTGAGTGAGGCAGCGGGACGCCAGCAGTACGCAGAATTCCCGCGACGGAGAGCGGCGTGTTAAGAGTTGCGCACGCGCCCGACGTACGTGATGACGTAGGCGCCGGCGGAGATTTCAAATTCGAACTGCGCCGGCGGGTGCGGGGAGGAGTTGGGTGTTTTGGCGGCTGTGGTCCTACCTCGCAAATAGTTGCACGGATTCCGGATTCGGCCCTTGGACTGTATCACGAAACTGGAAGGAAGGTAACTAATGACTTTGGGCTAATTTTGTGCCGGCAGAACTGTTCTGAAGGGAGAAAGCGATGGCGCTAACAACTTAAGATTCAGAGGCTCTGAGGGACAACGATTTTAGTGTCTACTCTTGTGAGGGCTCCGGGCCGAGTCTGTGCGAGGCACCAGTTTCCCGGAGTTTAAGAAATTCCTACTGACGGAGACCTGCAAGGGAGGAGAGGACCGAGGGGCACACTGGTGGAGAGCAGAGAATGGAGGGAGGAAAGGGGAAGAATTGCCGGGAGCTTGGGGGGAAGGACAGAATGAAAAACTGTTTGAGGTGTTGCCTTTGAGATAGCAGTGTAACATCCTAGTGGGCGTGTAGGGAAGTCTTAAGCCATATTTTTTTTAATTTTTTTTAATAAATTAATTTTTATTGGTGTTCAATTTACCAACATACAGAATAACACCCAGTGCTCATCCCGTCAAGTGTCCCCCTCAGTGCCCGTCACCCATTCACCCCCACCCCCCGCCCTCCTCCCCTTCCACCACCCCTAGTTCATTTCCCAGAGTTAGAAGTCTTTATGTTCTGTCTCCCTTTCTGATATTTCCCACACATTTCTTCTCCCTTCCCTTATATTCCCTTTCACTATTATTCATATTCCCCAAATGAATGAGAACATACACTGTTTGTCTTTCTCTGATTGACTTACTTCACTCAGCATAATACCCTCCAGTTCCATCCACGTTGAAGCAAATGGTGGGTATTTGTCGTTTCTAATGGCTGAGGAATATTCCATTGTATACATAAACCACATCTTCTTTATCCATTCATCTCTCGATGGACACCGAGGCTCCTTCCACAGTTTGGCTATTGTGGACATTGCTGCTAGAAACATCGGGGTGCAGGTGTCCCGGCGTTTCATTGCATCTGCATCTTTGGGGTAAATCCCCAGCAGTGCAATTGCTGGGTCGTAGGGCAGGTCTATTTTTAACTCTTTGAGGAACCTCCACACAGTTTTCCAGAGTGGCTGCACCAGTTCACATTCCCACCAACAGTGTAAGAGGGTTCCCCTTTCTCCACATCCTCTCCAACATTTGTTGTTTCCTGCCTTGTTAATTTTCCCCATTCTCACTGGTGTGAGGTGGTATCTCATTGTGGTTTTGATTTCTATTTCCCTGATGGCAAGTGATGCAGAGCATTTTCTCATGTGCATGTTGGCCATGTCTATGTCTTCCTCTGTGAGATTTCTGTTCATGTCTTTTGCCCATTTCATGATTGGATTGTTTGTTTCTATGGTGTTGAGTTTAATAAGTTCTTTATAGATTTTGGAAACTAGCCCTTTATCTGATATGTTATTTGCAAATATCTTCTCCCATTCTGTAGGTTGTCTTTGAGTTTTGTGGACTGTATCCTTTGCTGTGCAAAAGCTTCTTATCTTGATGAAGTCCCAATAGTTCATTTTTGCTTTTGTTTCTTTTGCTTTCCTGGATGTATCTTGCAAGAAGTGACTGTGGCCAAGTTCAAAAAGGGTGTTGCCTGTGTTCTCCTCTAGGATTTTGATGGAATCTTGTCTCACATTTAGATCTTTCATCTATTTTGAGTTTATCTTTGTGTATGGTGCAAGAGAGTGGTCTAGTTTCATTCTTCTGCATGTGGATGTCCAATTTTCCCAGCACCATTTATTGAAGAGACTGTCTTTCTTCCAGTGGATCGTCTTTCCTCCTTTATCGAATATTAGTTGACCATAAAGTTCAGGGTCCACTTCTGGGTTCTCTATTCTGTTCCATTGATCTATGTGTCTGTTTTTGTGCCAGTACCACACTGTCTTGATGACCACAGCTTTGTAGTACAACCTGAAATCTGGCATTGTGATGCCCCCAGATATGGTTTTCTTTTTTAAAATTCCCCTGGCTATTCGGGGTCTTTTCTGATTCCACACAAATCTTAAAATAATTTGTTCTAAGTCTCTGAAGAAAGTCCATGGTATTTTGATAGGGATTGCATTATACGTGTAAATTGCCCTGGGTAACATTGACATTTTCACAATATTAATTCTGCCAATCCATGAGCATGGTATATTTTTCCATCTCTTTGTGTCTTCCTCAATTTCTTTCAGAAGTGTTCTATGGTTTTTAGGGTATAGATCCTTTACCTCTTTGGTTAGGTTTATTCCTAGGTATCGTATGCTTTTGGGTGCAATTGTCAATGGGATTGACTCCTTTAAGCCATATTTTAAGTGGAGATTTGGAGTGCACACAGGGGTGAGTGGAAGAGTTGAAAGGATAGCAGAAATGTATAAAGGAGTGAAAGAAATAGGTGGCCGAACCAAGGTAGAGTGTAATCGGTTTTTAAAAAACAAAGGAGGGCCCAAAGAAATGACAGGATAACTACAAATGTCCACTTCCCTGGAAACCAGGACAGGACCTGGGAAATCTAGGTGTATGGTGTCAAATACCACAGAGATGAGATAGGGTCAAAAGATCTGTCAAATCGTGAGTATTCTAGGAGGCAACTGTTTCTTTCAGTAGATATGAAGGAAATGAAATGTTAATTTTCTGGAAAATAAGCAGCAGCCTGTGGACCATTTTGTGGACCAGATAATTTGCCCTTGTTGGGAGGGAGATTGAAGTAAGAGCGGCACCAATTGAATATAAATCGAAAGCAGAGGGTGAAGGACAGAGCGAGAGAGATGGACTCGGAAAAGAAGACAGAGTAGCTGTATTCTCTAAGCCCAGAGTAAAGGAAACATCTTGAGGTAGTTCTCGTCCAGTAGCCTCTGACTTTCCCAATGAAAAGGGGTAGTTAGGGATCCCTGGGTGGCGCAGCGGTTTGGCGCCTGCCTTTGGCCCAGGGTGCGATCCTGGAGACCCAGGATCGAATCCCACGTCGGGCTCCCGGTGCATGGAGCCTGCTTCTCCCTCTGCCTGTGTCTCTGCCTCTCTCTCTCTCTCTCTCTCTCTCTGTGACTATCATAAATAAATAAAAATAAAAAAAATAAAAAGCCTTGAAAAGGGGTAGTTAACAGCAGTAATGTGATCTGGGTTAGGACTCAGAGCTTTAACTACCATGGATATGTGAAGGCAGGCATTACACCTTATGTATCATTGTGTCATTTCAATTGCCTTGCACACTCGAGTGTACATGGTAGACAGTGAGTAAATATCCCCTTGTGTTGAATATTTTTAAATGTAATTAATACACATTCCTTGCAAATGAGGACTTCACTTTATATGAACAAGAGGGTCCGAGAAAAAGTTATCTTGAAGAAATAACGGGACTTGGCTGCTTTCTGCTTGAGGATGAAGCTAAGAGTTGGTGCTTAATGTAGCATCTATATCTGAAAAGATTTTTTAATACTGAATTCACGAATACAGGTAGTAAGCATGAAGCGCAGTTCAGTTTCCACCGGTGGTGCCGGCCGCCTCTCCATGCAGGATTTAAGGTCTCAGGATTTCAATAAACAAGGCCTCCATACCCCTCAAACGTAAGTACCTCATGACTTACTGTTGTGGACAAAGAAATCTGTAAAGATGGTTAATACATGTATTATGAGTGATGTTCTGATGAATCTTGTTCCTTCACAGTATTACCTAATTTGGATCAATGAAGGCTGAAAACTGGAATGTTTTTAGGTGTGTTTTATCTCATATGATCCTTATATCTCCAAAGCTGCATCGTTTGCCAGGCAACCTCTAAAAAGGGCTGTTAATTCCTTTTCAGCACTAATTTTCCTATTTTCTTCCTTTATTGTAGCCCTGCTGATTTGAGCAGGCTCATTGGTAAAACTTTCGATTTACTGAAGCATATGCAATTGCCAAAATTATCAGTTATTAGTTATTTGCTCAACGATAAGCTGCAGTTTTGAATAGCCTACGGAACTACTTCTACAAACTTTTCTCAGTATTCACTGGAAAATGGTATATAATCATACTATCATAAAGTAGCATTTCTTTATAAGTGCGTTTCTTCTAATTAAGAAAAGGCTATTTTTAAGCCACTGAGGGCTCTATCAATCCTTATACCAAGGTACAAGTTACTTGCTAACTGTACTTAAATTACTTAGGTTAATGTTGTATAAGCCTCAGCTACTTTTAGAAATTTAATTACTTTATATCTTTTCCTTCTAAAATCAGGGATTTTTTTTTTATTGTTACATATTACATACACTAAAAGATTTATGCCTTAATGGTATTGAAAACTAAATGGCTGCCTTTGGCAATGTTTTGGGTCTGTTATTTACATAATGTATGTTCTTATGTGTAGCTGCATTTTGATAGACTTGGCCTTAAAAGAAAAATGTTAAATGTAGCTATCCCATAATTGAAGATACCTATTTTTAAATTTTTTTCCTTTAAGTTTATCCATAAATGTACTTAGGTTAAAATAATTGAAATTAGAATGTAGATATGGTTTGTTTCTGCTTTCTTTGTTTCTGCTTTCTTCTTGACGTTTTAGCATTATTGCTTGTACATGTTGTTAGCCTGTCCCATTTGTAATAGCTATGATTGCTACTAAAAATTTTCATGATTCTGGATTATTTTTATAAGTAATGGGAAAGAGTTTCTAGTTCCAACATATTTCCAAGAATTGCTTAAACTGTTATGTTTTTATATTTGTTTTTTAAAGTTTGTTTTTTTTTTTTTTTTTTTCATTTTGTTAAAGCAAAGAGAAACCAACCTTTGGAAAGTTGAGTATAAACAAACCGACATCTGAAAGAAAAATCTCTGTGTTTGGTAAAAGGTATGATATTTTTTACTAGTTTTAATGAAGGGATTCTTAAAAAATTGGATGGCATGACCCCTTACAAAAGAAAGTTATAAGCTAGCTTTCTTCTGTTCTAAATGGTGAAATGGTTATATCTGTTTTGGATAGTGCTAAAAGATATACCAGCACATTCAGACCACTATTTCATGTTATAAGTGAATAGTCGATTGAAAATTCTATACCTGGCTTTCAGAGTGTGTGGAACCATAGCATTTTAAATTAGGAGGAATCAATATCTATTTCAAAGTCCGAGGCATTTTTATATTCTTAAATATTAAGACTGCAAAGAGCTTTTATTTTGTGGGCTGTATTTATGGTTGTTAACCATATTAGAAATTAAAACCGGAAAGTTTTTAATTGTGTTTAGTGAATGTAAAATAACAATAACCTCTTACATATTAACATAAATAACATACTTTCAACTTAAAAGAAATTTTTTTCCAAAAATGAAACTATTTCAGTAAGGAAAATGATGTTTTACATTTTTGCGAATCTCTTTAATGTCTAGCTAAATAGAAGATAGCTAGCTTCTCATATCAACTTCCACATTCAGTCTCTTAAAATATCATACATCATGTAGCAAACCTCTGAAAAACTCCAGTGTACACTCATGAGAAAATAAAAATGAAAGGAGCAAATAACATCTTAGTTTTTCAGTATGAAAATAGCTTTGACCTTTTAGAAATCCCCGAAATCATACTTCCAGAACCACTGTTTAGAGTATATCAGTGATTGTCTGTGCTGGAGGTGGGGCAAGGATTGAATGTTAAGTAGAAGACTCTCGGGATTATGAAAATTTTCAATATTTTCATTGTGGCAGAGATTACACAGATATATATACATTGTTGAACCCCATCATACTATACACTTTAAAAGGGTACATTTTACTCCAGGCTAATTACACCTCAGTAAAATTGACTTACTTTTTATGAAATGATCAACCCCAAAATTGAGAAAAGGAACTTTCTTTTATCTCACCAAAACAAAATATAACTGGTTTTAAAGCAAACCAGTTCAATGGTTTTGAAAATATTCAGAGATCAAATGATTGTTACCTAATGAAAAGTCTTTGCCTTGAAACCAAATTAAGTTCTTTCTGGTATTCATTCCAGTTGATAAAAAATCTTAAGACATTTTTGTAATGTAACTTTTCTCTCATTGGTGAACTTCAGAAATAATGATAATTATAAAATCTAACATTTGCTTAGCAAATCTAACATATTTATAAGGCAATTTTTGTAAGTGCTTTATCTGTATTAAACCTTAGAACTTCCCTATGAGTAGATACTGGTATTGTATCCATTTTATAGAAAAGGAAATTGAAGCACAGAGAGGTTAAGTAATTTACCCAGGGTCATACAACTAGCAACAGAGACAGAATTTCAAACCACAGACTGGTTCTAGACTGTGCTCTCAAGCTATAAGTTGAATAAGACAATATTTGATTGGTTAGGGAACTCTTGTAATTTAAAAAGATATCTAATAGTGCAGTTTTGTGTAGAATAAGAGCCAAGTCTATACATGTGTTCCTTTTGGGAAAAAAAAAGAAAATTAATTAAAGATAAAGTAATAGTACATAGAAAAGTGGTTCTCAAATTAGCAAATTCTCAGGAAAAAAAGCTAATTAATCCGGGCAGTGGAGTAAGAAGGCCCAAGTTAAAGAACTTTTAGAGTGTTAGCAGGAGAGAATTCAGAAGCAGTAAGCAAACCTGCAGGGAGAAATAGAGCTTTGATGAATAGAGTTCAGATATTACAGCAGTGTTCATTGCAGCAGTTTTGTGGCATCTGTTCAATAAGGAAAATAATTATTTTTTTAAAGATTTATTTATTTATTCATGAGAGACACAGAAAGAGAGTCAGAGACATAGGCAGAGGGAGGAAAAGCAGGCTCCATGCAAGGAACCCAATGTGGGATTCAATCCCAGAACCCCAGGATCACGCCCTGAGCCGAAGGCAGCCGCTCAAAAGCTGAGGCACCCAGGCGTCCCAGAAAATAATTATTTTAAGGGTATTTGCTTAATAAACTGCAGTTGTTAGCTAAATCAGGCCACAATGTTAGGCAGAAAGAACCATTAAAATATAAACCAGTTAATGGAGCACATATGTTGTATCCATTAATGGCTAAAAAGTAGCACCATGTATATTTACAGTAAATAACAATCAGATTCATAATTTTGCTTGACACAAAAATGTTCAAGAGAAAAAGTATGCACAACCTATTTTAACATCTCAAAAGTAATTTTCCCACAAGAAATGGTGGCAAATGAAGGGGTTAGGAGTGAAGGACCAATCATGGAAGGCTAAATAGGATGGCAAAAGGACTTAGGTTACTGAACAGACTTAGAGAATGATTGTATAGAAGATCTTGTGGTCTCAAAATTCTCCTTCTTAAATAATAGTTTATGTGTTAGGAATGCAAAGCACCACAAGTACATTTTTCTTCCCACCTAATTTTATACTTATCATTATTTGCTCTTTTTTTTCTGCTTTGAATAAGAGAAAAGAATTGAACTTTAATATTTAATGCTTATAGTAAAATATAAAATCACATTAAAATAATTTAGACTTGACCACAGACAGAAATAGTTTTGACTATTTATGTTTCCAGAACTAGTGGACATGGCTCCCGGAATAGTCAATTTGGTATATTTTCCAGTTCTGAAAAAATCAAGGACCCCCGGCCACTTAATGACAAAGCATTCATTCAACAGTGTATTCGACAACTCTGTGAGGTATTTTATATTCTCTTAAGTGTATTTTCTAATAATTTTTCTATTATAAGATGTTTGATGTTTCATACAAATTATTGTAGTTTCTTACAGAAAATGGTTATGCATATAGCGTATCCATGAAATCTCTACAAGCTCCTTCTGTTAAAGACTTCCTAAAGATCTTCACTTTTCTTTATGGCTTCCTGTGCCCTTCGTATGAACTTCCTGACACAAAGTTTGAAGAAGAGGTTCCAAGAATCTTTAGAGATCTTGGGTTTGTATGTTATATTTCTTATTACCCTAGAGAGATGGTTGAAACACAGAAGAATCAGACTCAATTGATTTGTAAAGATTCGGAGTTAAAGAAATCATATATTTTAAGATGGTCACTGTGGGCAGTATATCTTAAGATACATTTAGAAGGCAAGAAAAACCACTGTGTAGAGGTTATTACTGAACTATAGAAGATAGATCGTAAGGCCTTCCAAGTACTGAAGTGACAGGGTATAGACAGGGAATAGATAGGATGAGCTAGATATCACTGATGTTATAGAAGCAAAAAAGGCAAGATTGAAGGCCTAAAGAAAATGGGGTGGATGAGGTCAAATGAATGGCTGTGTAGAGTAAACATGGGAAGGAAAGGATTTGAGGATGAGGAGTATACACGTGTAGCTTATTTGGGGTACATAGAATTTGAGAGAACAAACAATCTTTTAGGAGAGAAGTCCAACATACTGGTTGTAAATCAAGTTCTGCTGCTTTAGGGATATATGTGCAGAGTTATCTGCAGAGAGGAAACCAAAAAATACACAAAATCATTAGAGTAAGAAGCCCAAGGACAAAATCTTCTAATAAATATCTTCTAAATAAGTCAAGACTGTTAGTATATACATGGAATTTTTCCAATGTAACTTTTAGCCTAATTTAGCCTTATTTTCACAAAATTAACGTTGGCTTTTTTCCTCATTTTTCACAGGTATCCTTTTGCATTATCCAAAAGCTCCATGTATACAGTGGGAGCCCCTCATACATGGCCACACATTGTGGCAGCCTTGGTTTGGCTAATAGACTGCATCAAGGTATTTGATTTTCATTTTAAAATGTATATGTAGGAAAGATTTTTTTTTGACATTTGACTTTCACTTCTTCAGACTATTAATAAATGCTTCTAGATGTAAGAGGAAGGAATTACCATATTGGCAAGGAAATTACTTGTTTTCACGAGGTTTTAAAGCTTTAAAAAAGTAAAGTATTTCCCCCATTACATACATAACATTATTTTGGGTTTTTCCCTTTTTTATTTTTTTTTAAACATTTTATTTATTTATTTGTGAGAGACACAGAGAGAGAGGCAGAGACATAGACAGAGGGAGAAACAGGCCTCCTGTGTGGAGCCTGTTGTGGGACTCGATCCTGGGGTCCTGGGATCATGCGTCTCTGTGTCTCTCACAAATAAATAAATAAAATCTTTAAAAAAAAGAGAAAGAAAGAAAGAAAAAAGAAAGAGAGAGGAGGAAGGAAGGGAGGAAGGAAGGAAGGAAGGAAGGGAGGGAGGGAATATTCCTTGTACTCATGAGAAGAATGTATAGTTTGTTGTTAGGTAGAATGTTCTGTGTGTGTCTGTTGAGTCTATTTAGTCTGTAGTGTTGATCTCTATTTATTCTTTAGATGATCTCCCCATTTTTGAGAGTGCAGTATTAAAGTCTCCCACATATTATTGTATTGGTGTTGTTTCTTTTAGTTTTATTAGTATTTGCTTTATGTATTTAGGTGTTCACTCCAATGTTAGTTGCATAATTATTTACAAATAATTGATGGATTGATCCTTTTATTATTATGTAATGACCTTCGTTGTCTCTTTCTTCCATTTTTAGTTTAAAGTCTATTTTGTCTGTTATATCTTTTTCATCCCTTCACTCTCAGTCTGTGTCTCTAAAACTAAAGTGAGTCTCAAGTGAGTTTCTTGTAGGCAGCATTTTCTGCCTTTTGATTGGAAAGTTTAATCCATTTACGTTTAAAGTAATGATCCATAGGTAAGGGCTTACAGCCATTTTGTTAATAGTTTCCTGACTATGTTGAAGATCTTTTGTTCTGTTTGGTCCTTATTTTACTATCTTCTTTTTAAATTTGGTGATCTTTGATATTAGCATACTTTGACCTCATCGTTTTTTTATGTATCTACTTCATGTTTTTCCCTTGTTATCATAAGGCTTACATAAAATATCTCTAAAACTATAACATTCAGGGCACCTGAATGACTCAGTCAGTTAAGCATCTGAGTCTTGATCTCAGCTCAGGTCTTAATCCCAGGGTTGTGAGTTCACGCCTCACATTGGACTCCATGTTGGATGTAGAGCCTAATTAAAAAAACAACTATAACATTCTATTTTAAACTGATGGCTTCAATAACATTGGTAAACTTTACACTTTCATTTCTCCCTGTTACATTTTAGGTTAGTTTACATACTTTTTATATTGTGTTTCTGATAGCAGGTTATTGCAGTTATTGTTCTTTTTAATACATTTATTTTTTAACTATTAAACTAGAGTTGTAAGTGAATTATACAGTACCATATAGAAAACCAGACTTTGTATGTTTACCAATAAGTTTTACACTGCCTTCATCTGTATTTACAATGTTATTAGCATCCTTTTGCTTCCTTTCAAAGAATTCGCTGTAACATTTCTTGTAAGGCAGGTCTCTTGGTGGTAAACTCCACTTTTTATTTTGGGAAATATCTCTCTGTTTCATTTCTGAAGGACAGTTTTTCCAGATCCAGTATTTTGGGTTTACATGTTTTTTTCCTATCAATATTTTTTTGAATACGCCATCCCTTGGGATAAAAAGTTTCTTTTTTTTTTCTTTTTTTTTTTAAGATTGTATTTATTTATTCATGAGAAACACAGAGAGAGAGAGAGAGAGAGACGTACATAAGCAGAGGGAGAGGCACCCTGTGGGGAGCCCAATGCGAAACTCAATTCCAGGACACTGAGGTCATGACCTGAGCCGAAGGCATATGCTCATTACTGAGCTACCCAGGTGCCCCTCTCCTGGCCTAAAAAGTTTCTATTGAGAATTCCACCAATAGTTTTACAGAGATTTCTTTGTATGTAACTTCTCTCTTTTTTTTCTTGCTGCTTCCAAAATTCTTTGTCTCGAATTTGACAACTTATTTATAGTATGTCTCAACATAGCCCTGTTTGGGGTCCTGTGCACTTCATGGATCGGGATGTCCACTTTCTTCCTACATTTGGGAAGTTTTCATCTCTTACTGCTTTAAGTTTCTTATTGCTTTATATTTTCTATCCTTTTCTTTTCTTCTTTTGAGATACCCATAATGCAAATATTCTATCATTTGATGATGACGAATAAGTCCCATAGGCTTTCTTCACTCTTTTTTATTTTTTCTTTCTGCTTCTGTGACTGGATAATTTCAATGTCCTGTCAGCTAGTCCACTGATTCTTTCTTCTGCATGGTCGACTCTGATTTTGAAGCTCTCTGTTCAATTCTTTTAGATCAGTCATTTTTTTCCAGCTCTCATTTGTTGGATTTTTTTTTTGACAGTTTTTTCATTGAATTTCTTGTTTTGTTCATACATTGTTTTTCTAATTTTGTTTCGTTGACTGTGTTTTCTTATAGTTTACTAAACATCTTTGAGAGGATTATTCTGAATAATAGATCTCCATTCCTGTAGGGTCAGTTATTGGAACTTTATTAGTTTCCTTTAGTTTTCCTTTTCCTTAGTGTCACGTTTAGCTTATTTTTCATGATCCTTGATTCCTTGTAATGGTACTTGCCCATATGAATTAGTGGTCTCTTCCACATTTGACAAGTTCTCTTTGGTAGAGACAGTTCTTTATCAATCAGCTCAGATTGGGTTTTTAGATATATCTCTAGTAATGTACTTGGGCAGGTGGGACTTACTTATATCAGGATCTATTTTTTGGAAAGGCCACTGCCCAAGCTCTGAGGTTAGAGGAATGGGGGAAATGCTGCTGTCTGAGAACAGTTATAGAGGACTGCTGGCTTGGTTCCCTGCCCAAGTGAGGCTATAGGGCAGGCTCCATGATTTCCTGGATGGTTGGGCCTGGGTACCATACTCAGCAGTAGGCAGTGCTGCAGTGCTAGAAATTAGTTTCTCTGCCATGGTGGTGCAGCAGAATAGCCCCAAAGCCTGTCTGACTCGTTTAGAGTCCCATATCAACGATATGAGTTTGTGCTGAATTCCTTGGACAGAAGGAGCCACTTCTGGTTTTGCTCTCCGTATGAGGAAGGCCATGAGCTGTGTGCTTCCTCTTCAAGGGTCACTGTAAGTAAGGCTTTGGATGGGCTATGCTCTCATTAGGTTCTCTGATTAGGCAGGCTGAAGGCTGTAAACAGCAGCAGGCAAGGCTACAGTTTAGTTTCCGTGCTTAGGAGGAGGCCCCCATACATGCTCCAAGATTGGAAAGTCTCTTGTTTGGGGCTCAAATTAAGCAGAACTATGCTCCAAGTACCCTGGTCTAACAGGGCACCATCTCAGCCCTGCAGATGATAGGGCCACCAGTGAGATTCTTCACCCTGGAACCACTATAATCAGAGTTGTCAGATGGGTTACACATATTTGTAGGTGTTCTGGTAAGGATTTTCTGGTCAAGTGGGGCTAGAGACTGTATTCAGTTTGGGCAGCACTAAAAATTATCTTCCCTGTCCCACTGGGACTTCAAACCAGGCCTCATGACTGACCAGGCTTCTTGAGGATCAAATCAGAGAGAATTACATGCTTAGCTCCCCAAGTAACAGGGCTACTGTCTTGGGTCTGTAGAAACAGAGCAGTTTCTCCATTCAATTGCTGCTGTAACTGGGGCTAAAGGTGGGCTATTGAGATTCCCATGAGCTCTATCAAGGTTTCCTGGTTAGCAGGGTTGGAGGCTGTATTCAGCAGTGGTAAGAGCTATATGGATTAGATTCTCTACCAGAGTAGGGGAAGGAGACAGAACAAACTGCAGGACTGGCAAGATTCTTGTTGAGGAGCTAATCAGACAAACCTTTGTACCAAAATCTGGCCCAGATGGGATTGCTGACTTGGCTCTATAGATGATCAAAGCCTTTGCCAGGCTATCTTCATATGCTCCTCAGCCAGGCAGTTTTCCAGGTGCTCCAGCTAGGCTTCCAGCCTGGGCAGGGCTAGAAGCTATACTAGCAGTGGATAAGATTGTAAATCAATTCTTCTGCCTGAGTAGAGCAGGTAAACAGGCCCCAAAGGCTCTTTGTGGTCTTGACTTAAGCCAGCCTATGCCCCAAATTTCCTGTCCAAATGAGGTCACTAGCTTTGCTCAGTGGATGATCAGTTCTGCCTTCTAGGCTCTTAGCTCAAATGTCTCTGAGCTAAGAAGCTTTTCAGGTGTCCCAGCCAGGCTTTCTGGTCAGGTAGGGCTAAGAGCTGCACAATGAGCAATGGATTGGGCTATGGTTTAACTCCCTACCTGGGCAGGCTCAGGCCTTCTGAGTCCTTTATTCCTCTCATATTTCACTATATAGAGAAGTGGTATATTGGGAAATGTCACCTTTTATTGAAAAAATATTACTCAAATCCATATTTCTGATTATCTCTATACAATTTCACTTTGAAACTGTTTGAACCAAATCTCCTCAATTCAGAAGAACTTTTAATTCTTGTAGTAATGTTTTATATAGCTCCTAGTAAGTGGTTTGTCCCTCTGTAAGGGTCTTTTTTAACTTTGTGGAGTATCAAGAATTTTCGCATGGACCTTTGACAAAGCATCAGAAATACTTTATCTATCCTGATAACAAAATAGAAGATTCTGCTCTTAATCTTGGGCTCTGCCCTGCATGTCTTTCAGACTTAGTTAAATCTGATTGTCACTTGAGGCCTTCTCAAAGGAAGAAGTAGTAAAGGATGAGTTGATAGACTTGCCTGCATTCTCCTTAGATGTACAAAAAGTCTTCTATGAGTGTCTTTGGAATAGGAAAGTAGATTTGACAAGCAACTCTGGGCTAAGAATTTAGGAATCTGATATGTAAGTCCTAGGGTAAGAAAAATTAATGAAATATTTTTAACAGAAACAACATTCTTCCTTTACATCCCTAATGTACAATGCTTTTCTTAGAAGCTTGGTGTGCATTATACTAGATACAGATTTATTTCTTTACATTTAATAGCCACTTCATTTACATTTTCTAGTTATTTTCATGTTTGGAAGGTTATGTTTTTAAGACAATTTATAAAAACAGGTATTGCAAAATGGGATTTCTTTGCCTTAAAATCCTTTAGCCATTTCCTTTTTAGCTTATTATTATAAACATCTGAATGTTTTGCTACAATATCTGTTGTCACTTTCAAGGTTAAACAATTGTGTTTCTGAATATTTTATATTGTAATCAATCTTAAGTTCATATTTATATACCCTGAAGGAACCTGTGGATAACATTTAAGTACCAAACTTGAATTCATTAAAAGAAATAATTTTTTGGTTTACCTTTTATGTGGCATTTTTTTTTTTTAGATTCTCAGAGTTTCATTAAAATGTGTGTATATGCTCTCAATGAATTAATAGCAGCGTAAAGATCAGCATATTTGGGACACCTAGGTAGCTCAGTGGCTGAACATCTGCCTACAGCTCAGGACATGATCCCAGAGTCCAGGGATTGAGTCCCGCATTGGGCAGGAAGCAGGGAGCCTACTTCTCCCTCTGCCTGTGTCTCTGCCTTTCTCTGTGTCTCTCATGAATAAGTAAATAAAATCTTAAAAAAAAAAAAAGCATATTTTATAGAACTAAATATGGAATCCATCCTTTCTAAAATTGAATCCTTTTTTAATCCTAATGGATTTAGTTACTAACATATCAAAAACATTACATTTTGATGCTCAATGAAATGACCTCTTGAGATTTTCAGTCATAGAGTAATGTAAATGCTTTAAAAATTACGCTAAAACAAAAGTGACAAACATAAAAGCTATACATTTTTTTCATACTTCATCAACTTAAATATATTATTTGTATACTTATTAGTTACATAATGCCATGAAAGAAAGCTCACCTTTGTTTGATGATGGACAGCCTTGGGGAGAAGAAACTGAAGATGGAATTATGCACAATAAGGTATCTTACATTACCACAAACATTAGCATTATCTTGATATTATTAACTTTGTCATTGTTGAAATTAGTAGTCTTTTGTAGAGTTTGTCTTTTCGCTTCCTGAAAAACTTATAAAATTGAATCTTTTAAATATTAATAGATTTATTCTTGAAATCACATTATAGTTTCTTAAAATTAAATAGGTATAGAAATTTAAAATGTTATATAAGTGGGACACTTGGGTGACAGTCAGTTAAGCATCCAACTCTTGGTTTCAGCTCAAGTCATGATCTTAAGGTCATGGAGTTGAGCTCCACATCTGGCTCCATGCTCAGTGCAGAATCGGCTTGAGACTCTCGCCCTCTCCCCTTCTGCCCCTCCTCTAGCATGTGTAGCAGTGCACTTGTGCTCATGCTTCACGCTGTCTCTCTAAAATAAATAAATCGTTTTTACAAAGTAAGTATAAATAAATAAAATGTTAACTAAGTAAAAAATGCAAGAAAATTAGAATTAAATCATAACACATTATTGTTTTATTTATAGATGTAACATTTCTTGCCTACCTTTTAGAATGAAGTTATCAATACTGGCAACATAAGTCTAATATAATTATTTGTCAATAGAAACTATAAGTCTTTGAGTCTTAAGATATTACATGTAGGTTGTTTTGTTTTGGCCTTTTTAGTCAGGCATATTACCACTTAGATCTGAGTTGCCACGTCCAAAAGGGATTGAGGTAAAAGTGTAAACATGGTCTAAATTGGTTCCCAAGCCATACTTTATTGGAGCCTAAACTGTGTAAGTAACTCCACCGTATTTCCTAAAATAAGCAAATTTACGTGTCTAAATAGAGGAAATACCAACTCCAAGGAATAGATTTATAATACTGATATTAAACATTAATGTGCCAAGCACATGTAAAAGATCGATCACCATGCAGTCCCTAAGAAGGAAAACAATTTTCTATGATAATTCTAATCTACACTCTTTGGAGCATTTGACATAAAAAGAAAGTGGCAAGAAACTTCAGTTTCATTTTTTTATTACTACCTGGGAAATAGTTCAAAGAGGTATCACTGCTTTTTTTCCTTTTAAACAGGGAGTAAACCATACCTTTTACTACTTCAGGATTGACCCCTGCTGGAAAAGCTGTTAGAAAGCCTTTGATCATACTCTTGAGAGAATTCTCCTCCTATGTTGCAGTATGTGTACTGGACTAGATTTATCTCTACCTCATTTTTCAGCCAAATACAATTTCAACACTTATTAAATATTTAATTTTTTGACATTTATCCTAAAGGTTACAGCAGTAAAAGTTATTCTTGTTATTTTAGCTATTATTTCAAATGACAATATACTGAGCAGCACTTTGGAAATTATAAAGGGCTATTATAAATTAAAGAGGGTTTTCAAAGTATCCAGTTTCACCAGATTCTAAGCCTCACCTTTGTGGATACAGAAACTCAGTTTGTTAGTGGCAGAGCATTTGACTGCAGAAACTTAATTTTGTTTTTTTAATCTGCAAAATCAATATTGACCAAACTTAAAGAAACTAATTCACGGTCACCAAATTCACAAGAGACTGATCTGAAATAGAATGAAAATATATTAATTTATCATCAGTGGTTTACCTTTCCAGTTACAGGAAGACTCATACTGCCTCTTCAGAGTACCCTTTACATATCAACCAAGTAATAGAGAGGTTACTTAGTTAGCAGAGATCAGCACAAAGGGAATTGGGAGATACTTATTTCATCTAGGCTTTGGAAAATTCTGATCCGCCCTTCTCACATCCTAACAAAGCATGCATCTTCAGTGACCAAAACACCTCATAACTGCAAATATAGTGTTACTTTTTCTTGGATAAATATTAAAAATGACAATATTCTACTATTTAGATCTCTACAAACCAAGCCATTTATTTAGACTGAAATTACTGTGTAACTATAGCCTTCATTCTGATTTTCATAGCTAGACTTTGTCAGTTTAATCGGACTTAGATGATCATCAGTTCATGAGTTTTTCATAAGGTTCATTCATAAGGATAATCTGTCCCTAAAGATGAATGTGCATTTTATGTTTATGTTTATGTTTATTAATAAGCTTCTGTTGTTTGACCTCAAAATTCTGAAGATATGTTTCTTTACTCTTTACTAATTATCACCATTATCTAAATTTATGTTCTTTCTATCCTCATCACATTGGAAGTAGCAGACCGAGTAAGTCTGTGCAGCATAATTAATGATATATACTAGGTTTGTATCTCGTTTATAGGAATTCATATAACTAGTATTCCTGACTTGTTTTAATTCAAATTTCCACTTAGAAAAATGGAACAAACTAAATAGAGAATAATAGCTTTGTTTTAAATCTGCTTAACCCAATCAGTTGTTTTTGGACTACACCATAAAATGCTATGAGAGTTTCATGACTGGCGCTGACAGTTTTGAAGAGATGAATGCAGAGTTGCAGTCAAAGCTGAGTAAGTGTTCTCATTACTAGTGTGCTTGCTATTAGTCATGTATTAAATTCTGTTCATGGAGTTGTAGCTTATTTTACTACACCCAACATTTATATGAGCTACTCTAAATGTATCTTGATGCCTACTAATTTTCATCTTCATTGTTTCTTTGATGGAGAGAAGTGATAGTTAAGCAGAAAGAATACCAATGTTGAAGTCAGTCTGAGGCAAAATCCCTTCCTGGTTATGTGACCTTAACAAATTACTTAACCCAACGAAGTTTTGCAAGGATTATGTGGCCATGTACATAAAGTATCAAACACACTACCAGAAACACAGAAGATAAACAGCAAATGTTATTCCTGTGATATTCCTATAATATTCTAGCTCTACTGTTCGGGAAATTAAAGTGCTAATTAGTCAAAAGATCTAAGGTCCTTTCAAAATATGTGGTAAGCAGTTAATGGACCATTATATTTCTGAAGAAAGAAATTCTTTATGTTTCCACTCTTTTACAACCTAGGGACATTCAATATATACTTGATAACTTTAAAATGTTCCAGAGGAATTATTTTACTTTTTTTTTCCTTTTATTGAGGGATCCCTGGGTGGCGCAGCGGTTTAGCGCCTGCCTTTGGCCCAGGGCGCGATCCTGGAGACCCGGGATCGAATCCCACGTCGGGCTCCCGGTGCATGGAGCCTGCTTCTCCCTCTGCCTGTGTCTCTGCCTCTCTCTCTCTCTCTCTGTGTGACTATCATAAATAAATAAAAAAAAAAAAAAAAAATTTTTTCCTTTTATTGAAATAGTGTTAGATGTAAAATGAGTGGTGGGTAAAACATATAAGATGTGTAAAACTATTTCTCTAATGAAATCAATCAAAATGGTAGAGCATCACCTTGCCATTATTGGCACAAAAGGCGAAAGCATTTCCCATATATTCCCATTGGACGTATCTTCCTGAAATAACAAGGACAATTTCAGCTTGTCCACATAAGAAAGGGATGTAAATGATGTTTTGTTTTAAAAGAGGAAAATTCACAGTGATCTAGTATAAAAAGAATTTAGTGAATTCATTTATTCAAACAATATTACATACCTACAGTGGGCAAGCCACTATTCAGGCACTGAGGATACAGTAATGAATAAGAGATAGAAAATCCGTGCCCTATGAGATTACCTCTACTAGAGATAATAAATAAGCAACTCTAAGTCAAAGGATGATAAGTGCTATGAAGAAAAATAAAGCAAGATAAGAGGGCAGACAGTGTAATGAAGGGAAAGGTTTGCTATTTTAGAGAGGATATCCTTCACTGGTAGCGTTTTGAGCAGAGACTAAGAAGGAAATAAAGGGAAAGCGCAATCAATGGTGAAGAACTGGGGGAAAATGTTTATAGGCAGAATTGAGATCTTAACTAAGTTTTGGGGTTTTCTCTCCAGAGGATTTATTTAATGTAGATGCTTCTAAGCTGGAGTCACTAGCAGCAAAAAATAAAGCATTGAATGAACAAATTGCAAGATTGGAACAAGAAAGAGAAAAAGAACCGGTTAGTAAACATGCTTATCATTGATAGGCTTATATACTTAGCTCTTTTGAACTCTTGATCTCCTTAGAGGATATCAGCTATTTATTTAAAAAAAAAAAAAAAAAAATCTTAAAAGTTCTTTTTTTTTTTTTTTTTTTTTACATAGGACAGAACTCCCCATGAAAACATGTTATCTCTAGAGCTTTGTTTTCCCTTGTGATCTATCAGTCTTGAACTAATGGTGTTCAGAATATGATGAAAGAATCTTACCTATTTACATAAGACTAAAAAGATCTTTTGAACAAGGTCTCCATGTTACACACCGCTAGGGAACAATATTTACAAGAAGCCCTGAGTTATGTAGTTAGTGAAAAGGGAATGGTGATAAGTGGCTTTATATAACATATTGTATTCTAAGGGTTTTCTAAAAGCTAAATAATATGCAGATACCTAATTTTATTTTGTGAATTATATTACTGAAATGCCTAGACTGTTTTATAAAATATCAGATTTTAAATGTTTGTGCTTTTTCATTCTGGCCCTTGGCTTTTTGTATCCCAACTGACTTCCTGAAAAGTATATCTTCTTAATTAGGTAATAACAGCAAAGTTCCCTTTTAGTTCTTTGGCTCCTTCTAAAAGGGAAAGGAAATGCTAATACACCTTTCTCTAAGATGAATTTAAATAATACTGTGTTATTTTCAAGTAAAGTATGGAATGGTTGTCAATTAGAATAATATGTTATTTTCTTTAAAGAATCGTCTAGAGTCATTGCGAAAACTGAAAACTTCCTTACAAGCAGATGTTCAAAAATATCAGGCATACATGAACAATTTGGAGTCTCATTCAGCAATTCTTGACCAGAAATTGAATGGTCTTGATGAAGAAATTTCTAGAGTAGGTAAGTACAACCAATGCTAAAAGAGGATATTCAAACTGGAATGGGGACCTGCTTGGGATTTATCATATACAGACACAGCTTTGTCATCCAAATCATTTTTCCGTTAATGGTGAATGGCTATAGCAGGCTACCAAGTTTTCAGTGCCTTCTACATGTATTAGTTTTCTGAGGCTGCTGTAGAAAAATACCACAAATTTGGTGGATTGGAACAACAGAAATTTTTTCACTCACAGTTCTAAGGGCCAGAAGTCCAAATTTTAGCACAGAGAATTCATTCCATGTCTTGCCCACCTTCTGTTATCTGATAGCATTCCTGAACTTTTGGCCGTGTCACTCCAATTTCTGCCTTCATCCTCACATTACCTTTTTTCTATTCGTGGGTCTTCTCTTTTGTTTGTGTCCATTTCTCTCAGCTCTGTCTTTTAAGGACACTTATGATGGCATTTAAGACCCACTAGATAATCCAGGGTAATCTCACCTCAAAATATTTAATGTAATCATATCTGTGAAAACCTCTTTTCCAATAAGGAAATATTTACAAATCCCAGTAATTAGAATTTCATATGCTTGAGTGACCATTATTCAACCTACTACACCTTCTAACATGTTTTCACGTGTCTAATATATTTTTTTTTACATGTCTGATATTTTAAAGCCAAGAGTGACCTAACCTAAAAACATATGCTGCCTGATACAAATAAATATTCTATTACACCTTATAATTAACAAGCCAGATTCTTAAATCTCTACTGGCTTTAGTCTGCTACAATTGGTCTTATCCTCCATCACTCCTCCTAAGCCACTTGGGTGAAAAGTAACTTGGAAAGAGAGAAGTACTACAGTTCCATGGAAGCAGAAACCCAATTAAAGAAAATGTGTTTACATCATGTGTGTTCTTAACCTTGTTTTTCATAAGCATATATCAGTCATAATCATAAAACTGTAAGGTACTGTTATCTAACTGTAAGATACTGTAAGATATGGATTATATTTCTGTACTGCCAGCAGGAGAGCAAAGGAAAGTATCCATACATTGCAGGGCCATTGGATGGCACTTTACAAAATGAATAACTCAGTGGACCTACTGTAGTATTTTTCTGGGTGTTTGGCTGCTTCAATTTTATTCTTATAGGATTTTATAGGCTATGTCTATCCCACATAGGATTTCTATAGATAGTCCTTAGGTCCTTAGGATATTTGATTTAATGCTTAGTATATGTAGTAGTAACCATCTGTCAAGTCAAGGATAATAATTATATGGAGTATTTGTCAAATCAGCTTATTTTTTTCCAAATAACTCTGATTACATATATTTGATTTACTATAAACCAAGCCTTTAAATTATTTACATTAGCCCCAATGTTTGTTCTATGTAATGATGTGATAGACTAATTTTTATTATAGCAATATTTGTAATGCAGTTAAATCAATACTTTATAATATTTTCTTTCTCATTAGTATTTAAGAGAATTGTCATACTTCTGACTTTTCTTGTGAGAATTTTCCCCAATAATTTCAAGCTGAAGAGGTGAGAGAGATACTTTAGCAATCATTTGCCATTCCAGATTGATTTAGTTTGAGATAATAATTTGATAACTTAACCTAAGATGTTTTTATTCTGAGTATTTTAACTTTCATGATTATTTAAAGTCATTCATGGCAAAGAATGAAAGACCTATTTAAACTATATGGATATTATACATTGTGGATTTTTTTGTGCTATGATAAATGTATAAAGTTTTACTTCAACTATTAACTTATTTTGAGCTCAAGTGTAGAGGTTTCCAAATACAGTGCTACAAATGAATTATAACAAAGCCAAGATCTTGACCATGTCAGCCCATGGGATGATTGTCTTGGCCCCTTTGGTCATGTGTGTTCTCATCCATATATCCCAACCAGCTTAAAAGTACTATCATATTCTTTGTAAGCTACAAATAACAAAAGGTTGGGAAACACCATTCTATATAATCCAAAATATTTTTAAGTTTGATAACTTTTCTTGCCCCTTTGCGTGATCATTTGATCATTTGCCGTTTCTAAATACCATTATCTTAGTAAAATAATATAGTCATTCTTGCTTCTTAATCTTGGTGATGTAGTTGGTTAAGCGTCCAACTCTTAGTTTTAACTCAGATCATGATCTTGGGGTCCTGGAATCAAGCTCCACATCAGGCTCCATGCTCAGCATGAAGTCTGAGATTCTCTCTCTCTATCTTTCCCTCTTCCTCTCCTTCCTGTGCTCTTGCTCTCTCTCTCTCTCTCTCTCTCTCTGTCAAATAAATAAATCTTTTTAAAAAAACAAGTTTTGGTAAATAGAGCAAGAACTTAACCACTATAGTTACTTACTATCTGATCAAACTACTGAAAATGTCAGTGAAATAATAAAGTGATGTATTTAATATAAATATTTTTATGTTTGTGAAAAACTTGTAAGTTTTCTGACTTATTGCAAAGAATCATACTGGAGTATTAAAAGCATTTGAACTGAGCATTGGCAGACTATCCCTTTTAAGTGTAATAATTCTCAATCCAGTCATTAAGTCTGAGGTCATTTTTTTTTTTTTTTATGTAGCACTTTCTGAAAGTCATGCGAGCCAATAGGGAAGTAAGTTTCTAACATAAAACTTTAATTGTATCATCTTTCAGCAATGTTATTAACAAAGTGGGATCAAGTAGGATCATCCCCAAAAAGAGAAGAGAAAAATATACATGTACATAACTTGGAAATTTAGACGTCTTAATCAACTTTATTAAATAATGGCATCCAGGTGCCTGACTGGCTCAGTTGGTAGAGCATTTGACTCTTGATATTGGGGTTGTGAGTTAAAGACATTAGGTGTAAAGACTAAATTTAAAAAAAATTTATTTTAAAATGGCTCAGTGATCTTTTAAAAATAAATAATGGCCTCAATTTCTTTGTAGGAATTGAAAAACTTAACTAATTTGTTTTAATGCAGAACTAGAATATGAAACAATGAAACAGGAGAATACTCGCCTACAGAATATTGTTGATAACCAGAAGTACTCAGTTGCAGACATCGAGAGAATAAATCATGAAAGAAATGAATTGCAGCAGACCATTAATAAATTAACCAAAGACCTGGAGGCTGAACAACAGCAGCTGTGGAATGAAGAGCTAAAATATGCCAGAGGCAAGGAGACGGTATGTCATATCATTTCCAGAGTGGCAACTTAGAGCTGACATCATAAAGGTCTATCCCTATTAAGAAAAACTGGGTAGAATAAATTGGCTAAAGAAGTAAAACATTTTAGCATTGATATTTTACTAAAACACACTTATCCCTTTATGTCAATTCAATAACACCCCAATTTCTCTCAATCATATTTAAGGTAGCCTGTAATTTTTAGTAGTAAACCAAGAAAAAAGCAAAAATATCTCTTAAGTCCATGAAAATAATTTTCATAAATCACATGCCTTCTAGAAGAGGGTATGAGTCAATTCTTCATTTACCTATTCACTAGTCAAACATTTAATTAACATCTGCTGTGTGCCACTTCCCATGCTGAGCTTAGAAGAATAAAAAGACAGACTCTCCTCTCAAGAAACTTCTGATCTAGTTGATATTTTTCTACCAAGAGATCACACCTCTAAAGATGTTTGCACAGGGTATTGAGAAAGCATATAGTATACCTAACCCAAATGTAGTGTTTTTGTCTCAGGGAGATACATGAGGTGATTTTTAGAAAGGTTTCCTTGAGGAGGTAACACTTGAACTGAATTGGGGAGTATAAGTAAGAGTTATCTTGGCAGGGACTCCTGGGTGGCTCAGCAATTGAGCGTCTGCCTTCAGCTCAGGTCCTGATCCTGGGTCTGGGGATTGAGTCCTGCATCAGGCTCCCTGCAAGGAGCCTGTTTATCCCTCTGCATATGTCTCTGCTTCTCTGTGTCTCTCATAAATAAATAAATAAAATCTTAAAGAGAAAAAAAAAGAAACTCTGTCCCCATTAAAGAACTCCTCACTCTCCCCTCCCCCAACCCCTGGAACCACTAGTCTACTTAAAAAAAAAAAAAAAAAAAAAAAGAATTATCTTGGCAAAGGTAGAGGATTCAGCAAACGAAGAAGTATATGGGAAGGCCCAAAGAGAAAATAGCATGTTGTATTCTGGCATCAGAATCTTTTCATATGGCTGTAGCTTAATAGTGAGGGATATGGCACAGCAGAAGAGAAGACTCGAGAAAAAGCGCAGAGCAGACCATAAAGATTCTTTTCATATTTAAAAGTTTGGACTTTATCCTGAAAGCTCCAAGAAGCCCTCAAGATTTTTAAGCAGGGGTGCCTGAGTGGCTCAAGAGGTTAAGTATCTGCCTTCAGCTCAGGTCATGAGATTGAGCCCCACATCAAGAAGGAGCCTGCTTCTCCCTCTCCCTGCTCATTCTCTCACTTTCCCTGTCTCAAATAAATAAAAATCTTTTTAAAAAAATTTTTTTTAATCACATACTACGTTTCAGAAAGATCTCATTTTTGGTCATGGGAAAAATGGATTGGAAGGAAACAAAACAGATAAAGATATGTGGCAGTAATGTGATGACAAGTTATGAGCTGAATTTAGATAGTGCTCAAAGAAATGGGTAGATCCTGACTAGTTAGGAGGTAGAGTGAATAAGACTTGATGAAAGAAAATGAGTGTATTCATAGTGTCTGGCTTGGGCAATGGGGCAAGCAATAGTACCACTTACTCCAAAATAGAATAGAAATCAGGCATAGAGATAGTATGCTAGACCTGTTAGGTCCATGGGGCATCCAAGTGAGAATATCTAATAAGCTGTTGTTCTGTGAGTCTGAACCTGAGCAAACAATATGTGTGTTTGCAATGTAGATTAAGAAAAATCAGTATGTATTGTCATTGAAGCCACAAGGGTAGATGAATTCACCAAGGAAAAACGCATAGGAAGAAGGGAGCACTAGCATCTTAAAGTGGGCAAAGGTCCCTTAAAAGTGAACTAAAAGAAACTGAGGACTAACAAGAGAGTTCAAGAAGATAGAAGCTGAGAAAGGAAGTCAGGAAGGAGTGAGCAGTGTCAAATGCAATAACAGGATTTAAAATTTTCTCTCAGATTTGGTAACAGCAGTCACTAGTGACCTTCACTAGAACCAAATTATTTGACTTCATTTCAGTTTTATAGATAGTATAGTATCCTTTTAGTCAACATTGTTAAGAAAGTAGGCTCACTGGCCATATGAATTTCTAGATAATTAAAGTTGATCCTTATTTTTGTTGGCAATCCCTTATAAATGTTCTATACTGCCTTGCTAGCTATGCACTATTTACTCTTTCTTTTTAATGTAGCTCTCAGTAGACATGAACTTTTTCGTAATGATTTAGCATAATCATGACATGACACCAATGTATTCTAAAACAATAAGTTAACAGGTTGTCTAGGGACCAAATAATATTTTCCTATCAGATAATTTCAAAGTTATCTTTTCTGCTACATACACTATTGCATTCCTAAGAAGTTATTTAAATCAAGACTTTTTTAAGAACAGGCAATAAAACATGTCTTCCAAAGGGCTATCTTTTTTTTTTTTTTCAGCAGAAAAAATAGAGTTTCAAAATTAAGTTTTGAAGTTTTCTCCTCTAGTATTTTCAGTTATAATGTTTGTTTATTGTAGGTATAGTACTAAAATTTATACCTCACTGAGAAAAATTTAGTTTCTGTTTTGCTCCAAAGGTAATGGGGTTTTTTGTCCTATTACTTCCAGCACTTTCCTTAGCACATTATTTCTTATAAATACTTATCACTATGTTAAAATGAAAAAAATAGTTCAAACAAATCAGCTGTTTCTGCCCAAAGGGACAGTATTGATTTTTCATCCTGGTCACCTTATAAAGTACATTATAGGCATAATACAGATGATTTCTAATTTTTAACTGTGTTGCATTTTTAAAAATTTGTATTTTACACACCTACACATGTAATTTTTCATGGAAAGGACAGTTCAGCATGAGCAGTAAACGCTGCCTCCTTTTTAGGCCTGTTTCACCATACTTTTGCTCTGCTTTGACTATCTTTACTCTCTCATCCTAACCTCTGTAATCTCTGTGTATTAAGGAGAAACATAGACATTTATAAGAAATAGACTGTAAAAAAATTTTTTTTAATAAAAAAAAAAAAAGAAGTAGACTATACTGGTTATCCTAAAAGTCTTTGAACCTAGAATTTGGTAACCTATATTTTAAATCTGGATTTGCCATCACATACCTGTGAGGACTCAGCATGTTATCTAACCTCTCGTAGCTTTGATTTCCTTTTTAGTAAAATGAGGTGTGGATAAACTACATCAGTGAATCTGAAATGAGTTCCTTCAACAAACATTAATTAATATATTTTATTTCTGAAGCACTGTTTGGGAAGGGAGAAGTTATGAATCTCTGGACCAGGTGAACTCCTGAGTTTATAGCTAGCTAAAATTAGCCATATAAATGCTATTCTTTGTTTGGGAAGATGAGGCTGAAAGAGAAAATTATGTGGGAAATAAGTAAGCAGTGATTTGGTTAGGGACAGAGTAGGCCATATACAGTGAGAAGAAAACCTTAGGGTACATACTAGGTAAGAGAAAGATTAAAGAATGATAGTAGAGGGGATCCCTGGGTGGCTCCGCGGTTTGGCGCCTGCCTTTGGCCCAGGGCGCAATCCTGGAGTCCCGGGATCGAGGCCCATGTTGGGCTCCCTGCATGGAGCCTGCTTCTCCCTCTGCCTGTGTCTCTGCCTCTCTCTCTCTCTCTATCATGAATAAATAAATAAATCTTTAAAAAAAAAAAAAGAATGATAGTAGAATGCAAAAGTTTAATATAAACATTGTATCTTTTTTTCTGGACTGATTTTTATTCCACATGCCACCTCTGACTGGTAGTGGATCTGGATCTCTGTTGAGGTAAACATTGAACCTGCATCTCTCATTAGGAAAATGTATGATCAGTTTTCACTGTCTGAATTAGTTGTAGGAAGAAAAAAATGTGTCACACATTTGCTCTCCCTGCAATTAGACATGGTAAAGTGCATGGGCTTGTAAAAACTGTTTTCATTTAGAGAAATAAAATGCTAGTGAAGAACAGAAGCAACTACCTGTAAAACCATTTATTAAGGACAAACAGCTACACATCTTAGTAATCCCTAGAAAGCTATATTATAATTAGAGTAGTTGAAATTATTTCCTGATTCATTAGTAAGAAATGTTAAATGAGTGGCACGTGGCTGACTCAGTCTGAAGATTTTGTGACTCTTGATCTTGGGGTCATGAGTTTGAGCCCCATGTTAGATATAGAAATTACATGGATGGATGGATGGATGGATGGATAGATAGATAGATAGATAGATAGATAGATAGATAGATAGATAGATAAAATCTTAAATGTAATATATAAGTAGTAATGCTTTTAGGAGCTTTAAATTTTTGGAAATTACAAATTAAGCAAGTTACAAAGAATGTTCTTCCCCCATTGCATTCTTTCACTTGAAGTGTTTGATTTTGTGGCTAGAAAACAACAGAAATTATGTGTGTATTAAATTAGTAATAAGTGTTATGAATAAAAATAAAGTAAGAGGATTGAGAAAATCAGGGTGCTATATTAGAGCAAAAGCCTTTTTTTGATGATGTAATTTGAACAGAGCCCTGAAAGGAAAGCAGACCAGGAAATATGGAATTGTGGTATTGAAATATTTTTGTTAAAATAACATATGTGACTTAAATGGTTGCATTTCACTTATTTTGGATAAATGAAATGTTTAATTTTGTAAATTGACAATATTAAGGTTTATTTTGTTTCATAATTTCTCTGACACTTTAAAAAGTAAGTTTTAGTTAATACCTGAATATAGATTCTTGTTCCAAACTACTTGGTAAATGAAAGAACAGTAGTATATTGCTTACTAATTAATTACAGTCTTTAAATTATCCTACAAATTTAGTGTGAATAAAATCTTTCATTCTTTGTATTTTAAAACTACCACCTTTACTACTGAAATAAACCAAATTACTAAACTACCATAAAATACATATAATTTTTATGTATAATTGCAGAAATGCTATTTGAAAACCTTATGGAATGGGACTCTTCGGTTTACTTTAACATTCCTTTTTGTATTCTCTTCTTACAGATTGAAACACAATTATCAGAGTATCATAAGTTGGCCAGAAAATTAAAACTTATCCCTAAGGGTGCTGAAAATTCCAAAGGTTATGACTTTGAAATTAAGTTTAATCCTGAAGCTGGTGCCAACTGCCTTGTCAAATACAGAGCTCAAGTTTATGTAAGTAATCATGAGTACTTCAAAAGATTTTTAAATGGTATGACTGATGTCTAGTTAATTTATTTATAAGAGTTTAAACTTCAGCATGTTCATAACTGAGGACTGAACATAGAAATAAAACACTGAAATTTTTAATCTACTTTCTTTTTGGTACTTAAATTCTCTCTATTGTACCGTCCTCTTTGAACTATAAAGCCTTTTCCTCTCTCCTTACTTTATTTACTCAACTAACCAAAAGAAATTTTGATTATATTTAATATAGACACTAGGATTATAAAGAGAAAAATTACCTGTGCTCTTAAGTTGCTACTTGTCCCCTCAGAGAAAGAAAGATATAAATAAATCATTGCTATGTATGTGCTTTATTAGAAATGTTTATAAGCTATGGTATTGAGATCAATTCTTGCCAGAATTGAGGGGAAAGAAAAATATCCACAGAGGTAGTGGACATAGAATGAAATCTTGAAAGATGAAGTATTTATTGGGATGGTCTGTGGGAAAGAGCTTCAGGCACAAGGACACAAATGAAGGCATGTGCGAAGGCATGAAATATAATAGGGCATTAAGTAACACCAGCAGTCAATAATGAAAAATCTGCACCAAATTTTTAAATATGGACAAGGATGTAATTTGAAGAAGAAAATTTTTAAATCGTTCTGTTGAAACTTCTCAATTATTCACAGATTTTAGTATTTTAGTGCTCCCTCAAAAATATCAATTTTCAAAATACTTAGTTTTGAATAAAGAATGTCGGTGAGGTGGACGGTTGGGTGGCTCAGTGGTTGAGCATCTGCCTTTGGCTCATGGTGTGATTCTGGGGTCCTGGGATTGAGTCCCTCATCGGGCTTTCAGGAGCTTGCTTCTCCCACTGCCTTTGTCTGTCTGTCTCACTCCTCTCTCTCTGTGTCTCTCATAAATATATAAATAAAAGCTTGGAAAAAAAAAAAGAATGTCAGTGAGAGTCTAAAGGTATGCATTTTTCCCTTGAGAATTATTCATTCAATAAATTATTTATTAAGTACATACTATGTTATATACCAGCTAGGTGCTGAAGATGAAGTACCCAGAAACAACCAACTCCTGCTTTCCCAGAGATCATAGTTTATTGGTGAACAGAATTTGATTAAATAGGGTTAGACTCATTTTCTATAGAAAAAAAATTGAGGGGATCCCTGGGTGGCTCAGCGGTTTAGTGCCTGCCTTTGGCCCAGGGCGCGATCCTGGAGTCCTGGGATCGAGTCCCACATTGGGCTCCCGGCATGGAGCCTGTTTCTCCCTCCTCCTGTGTCTCTGCCTCTCTCTCTCTCTCTCTCTCTCTCTCTCTCTATATATATATATATATATATATATATATATATATATATATATATCATAAATAAATAAATAAATAAGTAAATAAAATCTTTTAAAAAATTCATCCAATAAACAGTCTTTTACTGAATTGTTTCTCAAAGAATAACTAGGTAGGCAGGTAGACAGAGACAGGCTGGTAGGGATATAGTTTACACACCACTATTTTGAGTTGTTTGATGCTGATGCAAGAAAATAATTGTCTGCATCAAATCATTGTAGAAAGGATTACCCAGGGATGTCTGGGTGGCTCAGCAGTCAAGCATCTGCCTTTGGCGCAGGGCATGATTCCAGAATCTGGGATCGAATCCCATATCAGGCTCCTTGCATGGAGCCTGCTTCTCCCTCTGCCTAGGTCTCTGCCTCTCTGTCTTTCTGTGTGTCTCATGAATAAATAAATAAAATATTTTTTTTTAAAAAAAAAGGATTACCCAGTACAAAAAGAATGCACATTCTGTGAAAAGAGGGAAAAGTTTTTCTGTGATCTCTGAAAACAGTTTTACATAATAATAGAACAATAAGAATAGGAATAGCATCCAGAAAGTATATAACCCCACTGTTATAAGTAGTATTTGGAGAAAAGTTCTTAGATTAAAGAGGCATTTCATCTTTCAAAAAAAGAACAGCCAAAACTAAAACTCAGCAATAACTTCAAAAGACATACTAAAAACATAGTAACATACAAAGTTTTCTTTTGGTGATGAATATGATTTGGAGTGAGAGGTGGCGGTTATACAACATTGAATGTACTAGAATGCCACTGAACTATATGCTTTAAAGAAGTAGTTTTATGTTAAATTCATTTTAACTTAATTATTTCAGTTTAATCATTTTTAGTTTTTTAAAGATTTTATTTTATTTATTCATGAGAGACGCAGAGAGAGAGAGGCAGAGACACAGGCAGAGGGAGAAGCAGGCTCCATGCAGGGAACCTGACATGGGACTCGATCCCAGGTCGCCAAGATCACACCCTGGGCTTGGGCTGAAGGCAGGGCTAAACCGCTGAGCCACCCAGGCTGCCGAGTTTAATCATTTTTAAAGTGTGAATATGACCTCTATAAAAAATATAATAATGAGAAACTCATATTATGTTGAAAGAAAATTAGATGATAAATAGAAATGTAAGCAGTAAGAATTTCAAGGTTGCTAATCATGTGGAGATGCCAGGTGAATGGCACACCTAGAGGACATGGGAACTCTGTGCCTCTTCTCAAGTACGTTTCCCTATGCATCTCTTCCATCTGGCTGTCCTGACTTTTATCATTAAGTAAACTGGTAAACATTTGTCTATTCTGGACTCCTACCTTGCATTATTCATGGAACAACCCACCCTGGTGATCTCTCTGCGGTAATGTGTCGAGATGTTCCTAGTTCTTTTTGCAGCCTCCGAGTCCTCGTTGTAAGTTATTCAACCAGTCCCTGCTGGTGGACATTTGCTGTTTCAAGTCTTTTGCTATTATAAAAAAATTTCAATAAATACCAAAGAGAAGATATACAAGCAGATAATTGTAAGATTAAACAATTGAAAAGGATTAAGAGAAAAACAAAAATTATTTTCAAAAGAGATAGCTATATTGGGACGCCTGGGTGGCTCAGTGGTTGAGCATCGGCCTTCGTCTCAGGGCTTGATCCTGGAATCCTGGGATCAAGTCCCTCATCGGGCTCTCTACAGGGAGTCTGTTTCTCCCTCTGCCTGTGCCTCTGCCTCTTTCTGTGTGTCTCTCATGAATAAATAAAATCTTTTAAAAAAATGAAAAGCTACTGTATTAAAATAACTGTACTTATAAAATGTTTAAATAATAGCAATGAATCTTCAGACTCCATAAGCAAATCTAAGATTTTGCAAGTATTCAAAACCAAAAGCAAGTTACATTCTATAGTTACAGAAATTACACTGAAAATTAGTTTTGTTGATACTCCTGGATAGCTCTTCGGTTGAGCATCTGACCCTTGGTTTCAGTTCAGGTCAGGATTTCAGAGTGGTGATATCAAGCCCCGTGTCAGGCTTTACACTCAGCAGGAAGTCTGCTTGAGATTCTGTCCCTCTGGCCCTCCCCCTGCTCCTGTGTTATCTCTCTCTCTCTCTCTCTAGAATAAATCTTTAAAGAAAAAAATTAGTTTTATTGTCTTATTTATGATGTATTAATTTAGTTTAGAAACATCATGGCTTCACTTTTTTTCCTCCAAAGTGGCTACTTCTATCATAATATGTAAATGCTTCCTGAGAAATTTTGTAATTACATATATCATATGTAACCCATATCCCTGTGTATTTTATAGGTACCACTCAAGGAACTCTTGAACCAAAATGAAGAAGAAATGAATAAAGCTCTAAATAAAAAAATGGGGTTAGAAGATACTTTAGAACAGGTAAGTAACAAAACAATTATTAAAAGCAAAAAAAGGATTTTTAATACTTAAATGTGGTTTGTAGTTTCTAAGGAATAAATTTTTAAATAAGATATTATGGAAAATAAGAGTTGAGTACACCCTTGTCTTAGAAATATTTGAATTAAATTTTTAAGTAACTTCTTAAACATTCTAGGCTACACATACATTGATGATGAAATGATAAATGAGTAAATTTCCCTTGTTTTAAATGGAAAATTGTCTCTTTCAACCTGAGATAATTTAATATCCCTTTTAAGTTTTATTTATGACAAAGACTTAACAGGCTAATAATAAAGAAATTTAAATAGTTCTAAATGAAACTTCGCTCCTTTAATAGAGAAGACTCAGTTTTCTTAAGTAATCAAAGACCTGTTAAAAACAACACAGGAAATTATTTTAACAAAACACAATCTTTGCTTTCTAGGCAGATTACCTAAAAGTAAAGAAAAACTTTGTTTAAAATTCTTATTATTAAGAGTAGACCAATAATCTAAGAAACCTCTTCTATTAACAGAAAGAAAACCAAATTCTAAGTTTGTACTGGCTTATTTTTGATATTAAAACTCTAGTACTTAATTAAAATTCATTCCAATCTTGGGGCCCCTGAGTCTGCCTTTGGCTGGTCATGATCCCGGGGTCCTGCCCCACATCAGGCTCTCTGCCAAGCAGAGAAGCAGAGCCTGCTTCTCCCTCTGCCCCTCCCCTTGCTTGTGCTTTCTCTCTCTGTCTTTCTCTCTCTCTCAAATAAATAAATAAATAAAAATATTTTAAAAAATAATTCATTCCAGTCATACAACCCTGACCACACATAGGATGTTTTTCCCTTATTATTTCTAGCAGTTTTAATTACACATATTAGAATTTCTAACCCTTAGAAATTTTTAATTTCTAATGAAATCTAACAAGTCAGAAATTAAACTTTTACATTACCATTCTGTGGATTAGCAGACAAATACTTTTTTGTGATTTCTAGAAACATGCTTTTGCACAGAAAATTTGTCAGAGTGGCATAACACATTTACTAGTAAATCCACATACCTTGAGTTCCTCTGTAGAAGGAAGTAAAAAGTGGATAAACCAATATTCAGCAATTAATGTTTCAGTACTTTATCCTATTTGAAAATGATATGAATAGTGAATGAATTTAACTTAACTCATCATTTAACTTAACCTAGCAAAACTTTAAGGTTCCAGGTTACCAAAAAGATTTAGAGAGACTTTTTAAAAGTTCACCTAAAAACTTTTTATCTTATTTACATCCATTTAATTTATTTGTTTTTTACTATGTTTAGATTACCCACCAAAACTTCATTAGACATTAGACAAAATCAGCCATCATCCCAAGCTAATTTTTCTTGCTGACAAATTTTGTTGAGTTAACATAAACTCATTTGATTGATAAACCCAGGTGGAATAAGACTTGTATGTATGCATTTTATTCAGTGTTGATAACTTGAAAGAAAAGTTTATTTTAATTAAATCAACAAAGTTTAAGCTAACGTTAGTATTAAATATTTTCTTCGGTGACGTAAATTCAGAAAGTATTTGGGTTAGTTTCTATTTTATTTTAACTTTATGAATACTGAATTTATTTAAGCACTTATTTTAAGTCAATTTAATAGAGCTTTTTTACAAAAAAATTTTAGTAATACCTTCCAGAGGTAGAAAATACCACTCATCTATAATACACATATAATAGACACACATAAACATACAGACAGATGTAAATAGAGACCTTATGGCCTCTGTGTTACTAGTTAGAAAGAATTTGTATCTAAGTTGTTTTTCTGGTAGATGGAGTAAGTTAAAGCTGCCTGCCTGGATGGCTTAAGCTGAGTTTTAAATATTTCCTTTTTTCATTTTTTTCCTGATAAGAATGACCTCCCTGATGTTGTACTTTAACATTTAAATCTCAAAGGCACAGGGAAAGAATACAAGTTACAAGCCTTTTAAAATAAATGAAGGAAACTTGGGCACTGATTAAAAAAAAAAAATAGATGAACTTTGAAATGCTTCTAGAGCTGCATTTCTAGTTTTGCAAAGAAGTGAGTAAATGTGAAAATCTGTCTTTGTTCAATTCACAAATTATGCAGTATCCCATTATAGAAAAGAGCTCCAAATGGCTACTGAAAAGGAAAGAGAATAGAAGCACACAGTTAGGAACCCTAACAGTATCCTGAGTGATAAATGGTAAAAACTCAAACCAAAACTATTGCAGTAAGGATAGAAAAAAGAGATTGAAAAATTGGAACAATGTAATTCAGGGGTCCATTTGGACACAACCCTGAGATCGGGACCTGAGCCAAAATCAAGAGTAGGATGCTTAACCGACTGAGTCACTTAGGCGTCCCTGAAGATTTTTAAGTCAGGACATAATACCTGTGTATTTTAGTAAGCCCACAATGTTGGCATTTTGAAGGCTAGGTTAGAAGTACATGAGACTATAAGCACACAGTTCAAAAGCCTAACAGTGTCCTGAATGATAAATGGTAAAAACTCAAACCAAGGCTATTGCAGTGAGATTTAAAGATTGAAATAGTGTAATTTAGTGGCCTATTTGGTTGTGAAAGTTAAAAAAGAGAGAAATTAGGAATGTTCAAGTGTCCAGCTTTGGTATATGATGTTAAGAAAAAAGAAAAATTATTCATGACACTTGCTAAAGGAAATAAAGTGGACTTTAATCAAGGGGACTATTACGAAGAGGTTTTACAGTAGGTAAGAGAGATTGGGCTCCACTCCAAAAAATGAGAACTTATAACTAAGAAGTAGAGTGCATATCAGTGGATAAAAAATTACAGAGAGGAAATACTAGGGATAGGGAGGATTCTATCTAAACCAACCTAATAGGATTCTTGCTGAAAACAAGCTGAGGTGATCAGATATCAGCTGGAAGATGTTGGAAGATGAGAGACTTGATTAGATATTGACCTCTCAGAATAAAGTTCAAAAGAGCTAAGTAATTTGGTCAAGGAGAGAATCTTCTGGAGGTAATGTTCTAGAACCTTGATAAAGAATATCAGAGAAGGATTTAGAAGAAAGAATTTCAGGCTAGGATATTCTGATTTTCAGATCTCTAAAACATCATTGTGGAGAATGTTCTGTAGGCAGTTGGAGTGTGGACGTAGACATAAATAGTTATTCTTGGCATGCAGTTAATTAAAGCTGGAAGATTTCCCAGGTGTGAAAATGAAAGCACTCTCCCAAGTGACCAGATGAGAATATAGCCAAGATCAGAATCCTGGGAGAACATCCACATCCAAAGTACAAGCAGAAAAAGAATCTGTAAGGAAGAATTAGAAGGACCTCCCAAGATTTAAAGAGAAAACTAGTAGCTTCCATGGTCATAGAAACCATGGAAACCTTTCAGAAGGGAGTCATAAGCAATTATATATGTTACTCAGATATCAAATAAGTCTGAAAGATGTTCACTGACTTTAGCAATTAAGATGTTAACGGTGACCTTTGCAAAAGTGACTTCATGAAGCAGAAGAGCCAGAAAGCATATTGCTGTGGATTGAGGTTTGAATGGTAGTAGAAGAAGATACTATGGTATGAATAGTCTACCCCATGGGATGCTGCAAATTCGAGGATCACAGAAGTTTGAGTCTAAGGAGAAAAGATGGAACAGTAGTTAGAAAGTAGTATAGAGGAAAGGTTTTCATTTTTATGGGATGGGGGAGGGAATTGTTTGGTTTTAAAGATGAGAGAGTGAGTTCAAGAAAAAGAGGGTAAAGTTTAATAAATTACGAGCCTAAGGGATTGATGGATTTGAATGTGGTTCATGAGGAAATACAAAGGCTTGGGGTCCAGAGAAGAGCTGAAGGGGTTGTTCTCTTCATGAGGAAAATGAGTGCCCTGCATCCTGAAACTGACTGGAAGAAGGAAAAGTCTCATACAAATATTTTGGTTGCTTAGAGGCAAGAAGTGATGGAAATCCAGTCTAGTGGCTCTGTCTTTCCAATGACAGAAGGAAAAAAAATCATGTAACTAAAGTAACTAATGATGTGTTCTAGCTTATAAGCTTCAATTCTTTATTAAATGAATGAATGAAAAAAAGACTGTAAGAAGTATACCAAATATTAATAGCAGTTCTTTGGGATTGTAGAATTATTAGTCATTGTTACTTTCTTTAATTTTTCCATTATTTACCACAATGGAAATATATATTTTTGTGGGCAGCCCAGGTGGCTCAGCGGTTTAGCGCCACCTTTGGCCCAGGGCATGATCCTGGAGACCTCGGAGCCTGCTTCTCCCTCTTGCCTTCGTCTCTTCCTCTCTCTCGGTTTCTCATGAATAAATAAATAAAATCTTTAAAAAAAAAAAAGGAAAAACTTTAGAAAATATATATATATATATTTGTAATGGGGGGGATGTCTAATTGATGAAACTTTAGTAAAGCTCACATGAAAGTTAGATGCTGCTCAGAGATTAAGTAAACATGATTTTGACCAAACATAACAGCCTTGTGGAAGTTCTGATTATCTGGGATTCCACTGGTCTTATTGCAGGTAAATTTAGTGAAACAACTTGTTTAAATTACCAGCTACTTCAGAAGTAACATATCTTTAGACTGGAAGTTTATAGTGTAGGGGCCAAGGGCGAATTGCCTCGCCACTTTGGCATACAGCTTATTTACATCTGAAAACGTTCAAGGCCCAAAAGACTTGGGAAGAAACTTTGATCTCCACCCACCCTCTAACTGCCTAAAAGAATTTAAAGGATCTCCTCCCAGAAGGGAGCTACAGTATAATATAAACTAGGGATGGTAGACAGGGAGGAATTTAGTAAAGTCTGTGTTAAAATTCCTTTCTACGTCCCATTGTATTTGTGTGACCCGGCAAACATTTGTTTATCAAACATTCACTCTTCCATTTTCCTGTGAATTGCCTTCTTTTTCTTGAAGTCCCAGACCCCTACGATCTTATCCTTAGTTGAGGATGAAAAATATACTTCATTTTGCTTGTCTTTGGAATCTCATGTCTTTGTGGATTCCCCATACATATGAAATTAAATTTGATTTTTCTCCTGTTAATCAGTCTCATGCCAGTTTAATTCTTAGACCAGCCAGAAGAACCTTAAAGGTAGAGAAAATTTTTTTCTGCTCAAGAAGAGCTTCAGTAACTCTAGTCTATTTTTAGGTGGGGAGGGACAGAGGGAGAGCAGAGAAAGAATCTTAAGCAGCCTCCATGCCTGGCTCAGATCATGACCTGAGCTGAAATCAAGAGTCAGACACTTAACCAACTGAGCCACCTGGGCACCCCTATAGTCTAAAATAACCTGAAAATCAGGTGTGTATAGAAAAAGTCCTTGGAGTTAGAACATATTGGTTGGAGTTCTGGGCATATGGCTTGCTTCATAATTCTAAGTGAATAGCATTCATTCTAGCCAATTCTTCTCGTTTATAAAATAGAAAAGGAATATTACTTACAAAGAGACTTTTGATAATTGAAAGAGAAGTATGTATATATATACATATATATGTATGTATATATGTGTATATATATGCAAGTTTCTTTAATATATAGTCATTTTACCATCCTGTCGTTTACCAAATAACAATTGTTTCACTAAGTTTTTCCCCAAAATATGTATATATAATTTTTTTAACTTCATGTATGTGTTGAATCATCCTTTTAAAGAAAGATCCTTTATTTATACACTTTGCTATTTTCTTTTTCTTCTTGGTGTAGCCGGAAAACATTCCATATTAATTACTGGTATCATCTGGTATTAGCACTTGTTGGCAAGAAATGAATTTTGGAAACATTTTTTTCTTTAGTTTCAGTTTCAACAGATTGTAAAGCTCAAACTTTAACAAGATTAAATGTGTTCACATTATTACTCTTTGGAATAATGCATTGACTAAAAACCAGTTAGCAGACATCCAATAAAATCTATATGAATACTTTTAACATCCTAGAAAGTAAACATACAAATGGAAAGCTAGATAACTAATAAAATAGATCAAATCTAAGTAAAGCTAGACTTCAAAACTAAAGGGCAAAAACAAATATATTAATAAATTAATAAAAACATTAAGAGTGTATGTAATAGGGGCACCTGGATGGCTCAGTCAGTTAAGCTTCTGCCTTTGGCTTGGGTCCTGATCTCTGGGTCCTGGGATCAAGCCCTGTTTCGGGCTCCCTGCTCAGTGACAAGTCTGCTGTTCCCTCTTCCTCTCCCTCTACATGTAGTATTATATAATATATATGAGAGTTCAAAAACTCCCAGAGCTACTATGGAAAAGTTACTGGTGTCCTTATGTTACTGAGAATTGAGCCAGATTTTTTATTCCTATCTAATGCTACTCTGCATTTAAGTATTATACATTAAAAAAACATAAGGTTTTTTTTGTGTGTTTTTTTAATTAATTTAACTCCCCTGGGGAATAATATTTGGGGTCAAATGGTACGTGAGAATCTAAAAGGACTAGAAACAACATGGTTCAGTTAGTTGACTTGGTAATATGAAAGTTTTTATAACTTACTAAAATGATTTTGATGTATGGCTATGATTTCTCAAACAAAGTTTTATTCCCCAAGTTAAATACAATGATAACAGAAAGCAGGAGAGGTGTAAGAACTCTGAAAGAAGAAGTTCAAAAGCTGGATGATCTTTACCAACAAAAAGTTAAGGTAAGAACATTGCCGTAGTTTGTATAGGTGAACCAAAGTTATGTCATAATATTGGCCTGTTCTGACATCTAACTGAATCTTTAAGCTATATCCTATAACTTGTGTTTAAGTTTAATCTTCTAAAGTTTATTATAAGGAGTTATTTTATTTTGTTCTTAATTTTTAAAGGATTTTTTTTTCTGGATTTGGGCTGCTTCACCCTAGAACCTGTTTATTGTTCCATTAGTTTTTATACTTGAATATGAGATTCTGTGTCCTTGTAAGACCAAAACATATTGTAAATGTAATTCTTCTACCTTTTATAGAAATTTAGTTAAGTACTCCTTGAAGCATAAACTTCCAATAAAGCTTTGTGTCTGTGGTTGCCTGTAAGTCATTGCAAACTGACTATTTTGGCCAAATTCCAAAGATCATTATTATGAAACTTGAAATTTTGAAATGTGGATAAAATAATAGGATTAATTTCCGACCACCTCTGACCCTCTGCCTTCTGTCCAGCATTTTACATAGGGTAGCACTCAGATGACTGTTTATTACCGCTTATATAACTTACGTGAAAATTTTAGTCCTACCAATATTTTTTACTTAGTTATACCAACAAAGCATCAGGAATTAAAAACTTTCTCTCGGCCTTGTATTTAGCACCTATACATTTTGTCAAGCAGTAGAAAGTTTTAGATAATACACCACAGTAATATGATTTACATGTGAAATATGAGGCAGTTGGTAATCATTTTTGTTTTTTCATATGTTCTCCATGGCAATACTTGTGTTTAACCTCTTAAAGCACTTCAGTGAAAGGCTTTCATATTTCATCTTGAGAAGCCTAAGAGTTGATGATTTGGGGCTCCTTTGCCTGTGCATAATGACTACATGTGGAAATAAAGGTAGTGTGAAATTTACCCACATTTTTGCATATAGAAAAGGCCTCTTTTGATGATCAAAGGAAAAATTTTAATTAAACTAAAGTTTCCTACTTGAAGATACTGCTGAATGAATTATACAGGCCTGTTGGGAGAATGTCATATTTACATTTACAGTATAAAATTCCCAAAGGAGCATTTTAAAGTCTCTTATATGTAAAACAGTACACATGCTGAGAATACAAATGATGATACAACCTGATTTTTTTTAAGTGTACACCATATACCAGTTTATGGTATATGAAGTATACATAGTACATGGAATATATAGAACATAAATATAAAAAACCATAACCATCCATTTATCTTGATAGGAAGCTGAAGAGGAGGACAAAAAGTGTGCCAGTGAGCTGGAGTCCTTGGATAAACACAAACATCTGCTAGAGAGTGCTGTTAATGAGGGCCTCAGTGAAGCTATAAATGAATTAGATGCTATTCAGCGAGAGTAAGTTCATGTAACCAAGATTTATAATGTTTATTTTGAGATTATTTAGCATTGCTGTAAAACTAGATCTTTATTAGCTCTAATTTATACTATACTATCTGGGGGAGAGGGAGTAGTGAACAGAACTTACACAAAAAGAGCTTGTAACTTGAGATACTGTTCCTAAATGAATAGATTCTGCTACTATTACAGTTATTGCCCCCTAAGAAATCATTCTTTTTTATATCTAGTTAATAAATGGTTTAATGGCTTTTATTTTTTTTTTATAATTTAAGTTTTTTATTTTCTTTTTTTTTTTTAATTTTTATTTATTTATGATAGTCACAGAGAGAGAGAGAGGCAGAGACACAGGCAGAGGGAGAAGCAGGCTCCATGCACCGGGAGCCCGATGTGGGATTCGATCCCGGGTCTCCAGGATTGCGCCCTGAGCCAAAGGCAGGCGCCAAACCGCTGTGCCACCCAGGGATCCCTTAATGGCTTTTAAACCTTAAAAACAGCATGAGATTTTCAATCAAAATATTTTGGCTATTTGTTAGTATTTTTAAGATATTTATACTTTCTAGAAATTATATAGAGTAAACTATATACTGTAAATTATATAGTCATTCTATAACAATATGCACATAATAATCACCACGCTGCAAAATCATGGGATGAAAAATCAGGACTTATAGGAAAACTAGGGTTAGGACACAACACTCAAAATCTCTGTCAATGACAAACATAAACAAAAGATGGGAACCTAACTAAAATGTTAGCACAATTGTACACATGTTCAATGGCTAATAAATACATAAATACTATGATAAATATGACACTATCTTAAAGAGATCTGAAGTTTGCCTGGGGAAAGGGGCATTCAAAGGGTTGTAGCTTGTAAATTATGGAGATGAGGTAGAAGAAGGATTATCTGAAATCAGATGGAAAGTTTTAACACCAGATGTGGATGCATGTGACTCATCTTGTATGCAGTGAACTGAGGGAGCTGGTCCACATTTGAGGTGTGTACTTTAAGTGTTGTGTATATTCCTTTGCATCTGGATTCAACTGACTGCAGTTTTCTGCATTCACCTAGTGTTTCTCAAGAAGGAAATGGCATAGGGACACCTGTGTGGCTCAGTTGGAAGAATATGCAACTTTTTTTTTTTTTTTTTTTTTTTTTTTTAGCGTGCAGCTCTTGATCTCAGGACAGTGAGTTCAAGCCCCATGTTGGGTATAGAGATTACTAAAAAAAAATAAATAAACTATAAAAAAAGGGGGGGGAAATGGCATAAGCAAATACAAATTTTTGCATTTATGCTTAATATATGCTCAAATATATCAATCCGAACTGGAACAAATACATATTTCCAAACAAGCAGCAGAACTACGTATTATGTTATATTTCTTAGAAGTTCTTCGTTATCAAATTACACATTGTCAAGTTTTCCCTCTTGGTTTCACTTGTTATTTTAAAAGTTATATTGGAAGAGTTTTAGCTATTGTGTATTAACAGTAACTAAAATAGTGACATCCCTTTATTAAAGAATATTTGCCTTTGTGTATATAATTCTCTCATGCAACCTATATAAAGTCAATATACTGAATAGTTAATCCATAGGCTTTTTTTTTTTTTAAAGTCTTAATTAAGTGACCCTCAACTAAAAAAAATTTGAGATTAGAAGTACAATCCTTAAAGCACATCTCTTCACTTGCTTATTTGTAGTTTAGGGATAAAAACAGCTGAAACTTTCAGTCTTTGCATGCCTAAAGGTAAGACTCCCACTCCCCCATTCAGATGTATGTAATGCCTTGCCCCTGAAAGCATTTAAATTTACAATCCTTTGGAGATTCAAGCAAGACCATTTGTTCCCCAAGTTTTATATGTTTAAGCATGAGGTTTGGGTGCTGTTTTGTTGCTTTCAAAGGATCTTTGAAAATATTTTTGTTTTAATGGTTGAGAAGCAAACAACACATATACCAATTACAGCCTGTTTTTATTGAATATGAAAAGAAGAAGTGAACTAATTAGAACTGATGCATTAGTTTTTCCTAGACAACCTAAATGAGAGTTTTTATTCTACAGATACCAACTAGTTGTGCAAACCACAACTGAAGAACGACGAAAAGTGGGAAATAACTTGCAGCGTCTTTTAGAGATGGTTGCTACACATGTAGGGTCTGTGGAGGTAAGTGTATGAAGGTCTTTCCTACATTCTAATAAAGTTTTTTGTTTTTTATTTTTTTTAAAGATTTTATTTGTTTATTCTTGAGAGATACAGAGAGAGAGGCAGAGACACAGGCAGAGAGAGAGAAGCAGGCTCCATGCAGGGAGCCCAACACGGAACTCGATCCCGATCCCGGGTCTCCAGAATCACGCCCTGGGCTGAAGGCAGGCACCAAACCGCTGAGCCACCCAGGTGTCCCTAATAAAGTTTTTTAAAACTATATTTCTGTTTTGTTTCTACAGAAATTAAGTGATAAATTTTATTTCTATGGAAAATATGTCCTAGTAAAAAGTTATCAGAAGAATCCTCTTTAATGGTGTTGTAAGAGACGTCTGCATTTCATAATCTGTTTTGTTCACATAAACAACATATGATATTTCTTACATCAACAGTATATAATGTACCAGGCCACATTTTACATGATGAAAACATAGCAACACATTTAAGATTTCATTAAGATGAAAGAGCATGTGTTATGACAAATACTTTTCCTTTCCGTTAATTTAGTTTAAAGTACTTATAAAATATAGAATAAAGTACTTATGAAACATGAAGCATGGCTTAAAAGTTCAACAGTAATACTATTACTCCAACCTGCTCTACAGAGCCCAGAAACCATTATATATATTTCTAAACTTTAAAATACCTGGGTAGTCTATTAGGTGATAATATATTTCTAATTGTGAATGGTTAAGAGGGAAAAAATACTCATTATATTACATTGATAGGCTTCCATTTATTGAGACAGAGCGTGTGGTATCTACTTCCCTTCCTTTATCCTGAAACTCAATGAACTACATTTTCTTGTTTGCCAGTTTTCTTCACTGCTTGGTGATAGCTGAGAAAAATATACTGGATTCTACATCAGAAAACCTAGATTTTCTCCAGTATTGTTACTTTGAACCACAGAGCAGAAAATTGTTTGAGAAATTACTTTCCTGTTCTCTCAAGTATAATGTGTAATAAATGCAAAGAGAAAAATTCATTCACAACCTATAATGGTTGGCTCAGATTGAGAAAGTCTGCTTGTATGTATCATTTTACTTCTTTTGGTCTTCACTTTCTTCATCTGTTATAGTGAGAGGGCTGTACTAAGTCACTGCCAATATTCTTTGCATCTCTGTCTATTACCTGTACCAATTAGTTTGCAGTGTTAATCCGATAGTGATTTATCATGAGGGATTTATGTGAAGGGTAACCACAACTGTTAAAGTTTTATTCAGTTAACATGAAGTTAAATTTGAAACCCTAATGAGAAATGGTAACTTTTTAGTTTCTATTAAGTTAAGTGTTATTCAAGAAGATCAGACTGACTTCAAACATTTACAGAGCCCTTCTTTTGCACTATGTAAAATTCACATTTAGCCAGTAAAATGTGAAAGGAGCCCCTAAAGTCAGCCAATCATCTTTAAAACCTAGTGTGGGGGAATTTTACAAGTGATAAAATTAGACTGAAGGAAACAGAGGACTGTGGTGGATCTAACGGTATCTTTAGATAGGATGTTTTTCCTCTGGGGTAAAACATTTCTTTGAGCAATTTTTTTTTAAGATTTTATTTATTTAAAAAAAAAAGATTTTATTTATTTATTTATTTATTCATAAGAGACACACAGAGAGAGAGAGAGGCAGAGACATAGGCAGAGGGAGAAGCAGGCTCCATGCAGGGAATCTGACATGGGACTCAATCCTGGGTCTCCAGGATCACACCCTGGGCTGAAGGCAGCGCTAAACTGCTGAGCCACTCAGGCTGCCTTCTGAGCAATTCTTGATTGGAGCCCCATGCAAGTCCTGTATGTGGCTTGATATTCTAGACTAGGAGACAGCAAACTACACCCCACAGGCCAAATTGGGCCCATGGGCTGTTTTTGTAAGTAGAGTTTTATTGGAACACAGACACTTCATTCACTTCCATTCTCTTTATGGCTGCATTCCTACTATAGTAGCAGAGTTGAGCAGTTGCAACAAAGGTCATCTCACTTATAAAACCTAAAATATTATTTGGCCCTTTACAGGCAAAGGTTACTGACTCCTGTTCTAGAATCCTACCTCCCTGAGGGGCACAAAATCTGTTTTGTCTGTTTAGATGTTCAGAAATTATTATAAAGCTCTAATAACTAATCCATTGTAGTATTGAAACGTATAAACCAAGCTCTCTGATTGAGAAAAAAAAAATGGATGAGCATAGATAGGACTTATGAGAGAAGTATTACAGACTAGTGGAGTAAAACAAATTGTTCAATTGATGGAGTTAGGATTCCTACCTTAAACCCTAGACAAAAATCACTTCAGGATGGATTAAGAAATTAATGTGAGGCTGATTTTTTTTTTTTTTTTTTTTTTTTTTTAGACAGATAATGAGTGCTGGGGAAGAATGGCATGGGAATAGGGAGAGAGAGAGAATCTTAATCAGGCTTTACTCCCAGTGCAGATCCCGATGTGGGGCCTGATCCCAAAACCCTGAGATTATAACCTGAGCTGAAATTAAGAGTCATACTTAATTGACTAAGCCACCAAAACACAACTTAAGTTTTTAACTTTTAGAAAAATTATAGACCCTATCTTTACACCTCAGGAGTTGTAGAGGAGTTCTTAAATTATCTTAAATTAGATACAAGGAGTACAAACCACAAAAGAAATTATTTATAAATTCAGCTTTGTTAAAATTAAGATCTCTACATCAAAAGACAAAGAGTGGAAAAATAAGCTAGATAATATTTTTTAAAACAACTAATAACATCCAGATACTGGAATGTAAATTGATGTTAACAATTTTATAAAAACAATTTGGCAATCCCTAATAAAATGGTACGGTTCCATTGTAGGTATTTAATTAAATTTTTACGCTGTGTGCTGGAGTACTGTACTAGATTGAATAGTATCCCCTCAAAATTCATGTGTATCCCTGAATCTCATTATGTGACGTTATTTGAAAATAAAGCCTTTGTGGATGTAATTAGTTAAGATAAGGTCATACTAGATTAGGATAGGCCTTCAATCTACAAGTATCCTTGTAAGAGTCCTGTGAAGATGAAGGCAGAAATTAGAGTGACACGCCTGTAAGCTAAAGATTACCTAGAACTGCTAGAACTGGTAAGAGAAAAGGAAAGATTCTTCCATAGAGCCTTCAGAGAGAGTGGCCCTTTCAGTATCTTAATTTTGGACTTCAAGCCTCCAAAACTGAGAGAATAAATTTGTTGCCTAAGCCAACTAGTATATTTAAACTTGCTATAGTATAATTGAAATAGTAAAAAACAGATAACCCAATATATTAGTTTTCTGTTGCTACTGTAACAGATTACCACCAATTTAATGGCTTAAAGCAACACAGATTTATTTTTCACATATATCTGGAAGTCAAGAGTATAAAATGGGCCTTCTAGACTACAGTCTTTCTAGAAACTAGGATGGAATTTCTTTGCCTTTACCCTTTTCTAGAACCACATACATTCCTTGGCTTGCAGCCTCTTCATTTCAAAGCAAGCAGCATAGCATCTTCTGTCCCCTTTGACCTCTCTTCTGTGCCTACATTTTCTCTCTCTCTCACATTGCTGATTCCCTCTTACCAGGACCCTTGTGATTGCATTGGACTCACCAGGACAATGCAGAATAATCTCCTTTTCTCAAAATCCTTAACTTAATCACATCTGTAAAGTGTGCCCTATAAAATAACACATTCACAGTTTTGGGATTATGCCATGGACATCTTTGAGGAAGCTGCTATTTAGCCTACGATAACTGGAATCAAGCTGAAATTCATTAATAATAAAATGGATAAATATTGATATATTCATGCAATAGAAAACATATAACAGTACGTGAATAAAAAGTATCTGCATTAACATCAATGAATCAAAATCCTGGTTGTGAAAAAGTCATAGAATACTATATTTAATTTCATTCAGGAAATATAAGTGTAAAAACCAGATGCCATTAAACTAGTATATTGTTTAGAAATACATATCTGTGTGGGGCAGGAGGTAAAAGCATAAAGAAAAGAAAAGCACCACGGAGAAGAAAGAAATAGGGCTCTGGAAAGAAAAATAGGGATATTATTAGGAAAGGGCACAAACACGGACTCAAGAATAGTATCCCTTTTATTCCCTGTTCTTACAAATGTTATACTTTATATTCTTCACAATTCTTTAAAAGAAATTGTTTTTTCATTAACAATTGCTCATTGTTTTCACTAGAAACATCTTGAGGTGCAGATTGCTAAAGTTGATAGAGAGTATGAAGAATATGTGTCTGAAGATCTCTTGGAAAATATTAGAGAGATTGGAGACAAGTATAAGAAGAAAGCTGCTCTAATTAAGCCTTCTGATGAATGAAGACGAAATATTGATTATCTAAGCAAGAACTTTATTAACTGTAAATTTTTAAATGTCCTTTGTAGGTGTGAAAAATCTCTAACATGTCCTAAACCCTTCCTTACAATGAAGTCTTAAGACCGTATCTTTCCAAGCCTGTAAAATATTTTTATATCTTTTATAAATCTAGTTCATTAAAGTATGTATAACCTGAAACTATGATACTTTGTTGGATTGTTATCTTTAGATATGAAAGACTAGTTATATATCCAGAGTTAATAAAATTATATCAGTAAAGCATATTTTTCCCTGATTTCTCAACCTAACTTCAGAAGGTAGTTAATTTGATCTAAACCAGGAATTAGCCAACCGTGGGCCAAGTGCAGTGACTCCCATTAACTGATACATTGTCTGTGACTGCTTTCACACTACAGTGGCAATGTTGATTATACGTGACAGAGACTATATGGCCCATGGAGCCAGAAATGTGTACAGTCTGGCCCCTTATACAAAGTTTGCCATTCCCTGGTGTAAGCTTACAGGGTTGGGCCTCTTTAAAAAACGTAGGCCAACTCATTCCTTATTCAGAGCCAAGAAGCTAAATTTCCTTCTGGCTTCATGCCACCATTACTCTAAAATGAGCAGAAGAATATGGAATCTGGTAATCAGAAGAAATAATAACATAGTTCAATCCCCTCATTTAAGAGATGAAAATTATTTCTAGAGAAGTTCTGATTTACCTCTGGTCACACTTCTTTGTCGTGTGGTAGAAGCCGCACAGGAATTTCATTGTAACAGTACACAATCCTGACTACGTACAGCCAACCACAGGAGCTGTGAGACATGAATGTTCTGGATGGTGAGGAAGTCATGTTAGAATGTAAGATTATTAGGTCTAAATTGTTAGGAAGCTCCTCACATTCGATTGACATCAGCCCCTAGCTGAATTTTCTGTTCAAACTTCATTACAACTCTAATTCAAGTCAGAATGAAGAACATGATAAAATGTAAGCAATAAAATAACCCAAAATGGAATCCCACCAAAGCTCTATGAAAGGACAGCATGCAGCCTGAGAGAGTGGGATAAACAAAAACAGGTCATAAAAAAAAAAAAAAAAAAAACAGGTCATGGTTGGGAGATAATAGATAGGACAAGATTAATAGTTACCAATGTATTCAAGAATCTTGACTAATAATATCCAACAGAACTTTCTTAAATGATGAAAATATTTTATCTGCGCTCTCCAGTATGGTACCAGCCATTTGTATGTATTGTCACTCAAATGACACATCTGTTAATGACAAAGTCAACTCAAGAGTTTTGCCCTTCAAAATGTGGTATGCAAACAGCAGTATTATTTGAATTTTTCATAAGTTTTGACATCCATATACACCTACAAAATTATCACAATCAAACTAATGAATCTATCCATCACTACTAAAAGTTTCCTTGTGGCCTTTTGCAATCTTGTCTCTTGCCCCTAACACTTGCTCACACCTATCCCCAGGTAAGTACTGATATTTCTGTTACTACAGATTAGTAGAATAGTATGTACACTTTGTATGGTTTCTTTCAGAATATTTTGAGATCCAAGATTATTTTGAGGTCCACATTGCACTGGATATCAGTAGTTCATTCCTTTTTGCTGACTAGTGTTCATTATATGAATATATTGAGTTTATCCAGTCACCTGTTGATGGACATGTAGATTCTTTACGGTTTTTTGCCTTACAAATAAAGTTGTGAACGGAACATTCATGTACAAGTGTTTGTATGGTCATATGCTTTCATTTCTCGTGGGTAAATACCTAGGATTGGACAAGCTAGTTCATACAGGGTAGGTGCACATTTGACTTTTACGAAATTTAGAAAATGTTTTCTAAAATGATGGTACCATGTTTCTACCTGCAGTGTATGAGACTTCCAGTTGCTCCACATCCTTTCCCACATGTGGTATGGTCAGTCTTTTTAATTTTAGTCATCCTAAGGGGATGTGGTTCTGTCTCATGATATTAATTTGCACTTACTTTCCCTCCTCAATCCCTGGAATCAGCCAGTTCTCTAAGGATGACTGGTCCCTATTAATGGATAATATTTGGAAACCAAACCTTAGCACTGTATGTGTTCATTGCTCCTACGGTGCCAATGCTTCCAGGCCTTCCCCAAAGACAGAGCTAAAAAATTTAGTATTCATATGCATACACATACCAACATATTTCTATATGTATCAATATATTACAAACCATGAGTTCATGTCAGTATCTCCAGTTCCAGTCCAAACCCACACGGGTTCTTGATACATAGGTTCAATATGCAAGAATTCATTGGCTTAGGCACACTTTTTCAGAATATGGAATTTAACACCCTGGAAAGGACTATAGCAGATGCAGTAAACTCACTGGTGAGGTGGCTCTTAGGAGGGTGGATAAGATGAAGGCTAATACTGCCAAGTGGAAATGCCTGGGATGCTCTTGCAGAGAGTAGAGGAAGAAATAGAAAGGCTTAGGGAAATGAGAATGCTGTAATACACAATGTAAAGCCAGAAGAGCTCCCAGTGTTTCACAGGAGGACCTTAAGGACAACCCATGCATGAAGGCCACAGGGAATGTCAGGGTGAGAAGGGCAGCAGTATCAGTAGGAAGTTCAGTGGTGGCTCTTCTACAGACTGGGTTGATAGAGGAAGAAGCAGGCATGGAGCTAAGCTCATGAATATTCATGGAGATAATGGGTCTCTGAAGTAACAAAGGCCAGGAGGCTGCCCATGCTGATGAACAAGGTCAGAAAAGTGGTTGAAGGGGCTTAATCTGAAGAAGTTATGGAGGTGGTTAATAGAGATGGTATCCCTAGGGGCAAAAGAGAAGGACAGAATTGTGTTAACTCTCCTACCTTCTGTGATGATACGATCCAAAGAAATATGATCCAACAAGGAACAGGTAATCTTTTTTTTTAATTGATAGGCTATTTTTTAGAGTAGTTTTAGGTTAACAGGGAAATTGAGCAAGTGTGATTTTTAACTCTATAAGAAACAAAAAGCAAGAATACTAGAGCAGGGGCCTAAGGGGTGGGCATCACTATAAAAAGTCAAAACCCCTTGCTCAGTTCCCAGATCTGGGCCATTTTCAGATCTGAATACCATTGACTGAAGAGGTAGCTGAGTCTCTAGAAGAAAGGACCTAGCAACATCATGATAAGTGTATATGGAGTTGATTCCTCCAGTCCTTCCCCCTAAAAGAGTGAAAATAAGACTAACCAGACTGTTTTAGGACTATTTGACATAAGATCTGAGTTGACATTAACCATAAGCACCACCACAAATGACCACTCTATGAGAGTAGGACCTGCAAAGACTAATTACTGGAGTCCTAAGACCAGGCTTGTCATTTATCCATTGGGTCAATGGCCCCATCCAAAGGTCATTTCCTCAACCCCCAAGTACATAACTGAAATTGATATATTTGTGATATATTTGAGATTTGGAGTATACCCCACAATGGGTCCCTGGTTACAGCATAAAAGCTGTAATAGTGAGGAAAGCTATATGGAAACTGCTGAAACTACCAGCTTAGCCAAGATAGTAAAAAATAATATACCAGGGAGAATGGCAGACAGTAATGCCATGATTAAAGACCTGTAGGATTCAGAGGTGGTGAAGGATTCACTCACATATCTCCATTTAATTCACCAGTCTGGCTCTCTCAGAAACAGGATGGCCTCTGGAGAATGACTGGGAACTCCCACAGACTTAATCTAGTTGGTAGACCTTTTCCCATCTCCTATACCAGAGGTGGTATCACTGGTAAAGCACATTAATAAGGCCTCCGTTATATGGTATGCATCCATTGACTTAGTGACTACATTCTTTCCCATGCCAATTAGAAAAGAAGATCAGAGCATCAGAGCAGTTTGCATTATTGTAAGATGGACACCGATATTCATTAATAGATCTTCACAGTGTTGTCACAAGCTATCTTAACTCTCCTGCCTTCTATCATAATCTATTGGGACCCCCTGGACAACAAACTGATCATTTACATCAGTGATATCCTGATTAGACAGGATGACTATAAGCTGACTAGGATGCTGATGATATGCTCCAAACAATTGGAGATAACCCCTAAAAAGACTCAGGGACCTCTAAAAAGTTTTTAGGGGTCCAAGTTTTTAGGGGCATGCTAAGATATCACTTCCAAAGTTAAGGACAAATTGCTACATCTTGCATTCCCTAACACATGAAAGAAATACAGTGCACAGTAGACCTCTTTGAGTTCTGGAAACAACATATTCCATGCCCAGGAATATTATTCCAATTCATATATTGGGTGACCCGAAAGGCTTGAATGGGGCCACAAACAGCGAGTCCAGGCCATGGTACAATCAGCCTTGCTTCTTGAAGCATATAATCCCGTAGACTCTAGCATTAGGGGTGTCAGTGGTAGGAAAATGTATACCATGGAGCTTGTTGTAGGCTCCAGTAAGAAATTTAAGTGGCAGACCTCTATGGTTCTAGAATCATTCATGTCATCATGTAGAGAAGTGCATACTCTTTGAGAAAGAGCTCTTGACATGTATCAGGGTAGAGACCAAATGCTTGACCATGGGACATTAAGTGTCTGTTCCTTTGAAACATCCCACTGTGACCCACAAAGCGATAAAATCAGACAAGCCCAAGAGCAGTCCATCATAAGATGAAAATAGGATAACTAGGATCAATCTGAGCAGGACCAGGAGGAGATTCCAAGCAAGCAATTCAGACTTTTATGTGACCCAGCACAACTGCACCAGTGTTCCTTCACCAGCTTCCACCTAGAGACAAAGAGGGTCCCATACAACCAACTGAAAATAGAGGGAAAAAATCCCAGCCTGGGTTTATAGATGAGTCAGCTCATATACAGGGTCCAACGGGAAAATAGCAGGTACACCGTAGCCACATTCAAAAGTAGTCTTGGAAGACTGTGACAAAGGAAAATCTTCCTAGTGGGCAGAACTGAACCGTGAGCAGAGCCTCTGGACATCCACTTTGTGTGGAAGGAGAAGTGGCCCAAGATGAGAGTACATACAGATTCAAAATTAGCAGCAATGGCTTAAAAGACAGGTGACAAAGTTATCTGGGGTAAAACCTGGGGGTGAGCATATGCAAAGTGGGCACAGAGCATGAAGACTTTTGTGCATGTTACTAATCACTGGAAAACATCTACTACAGAAGAGGCACTGTCAA